ACAGAACTATCGTAAAAACATATCAGTAAATTATTATCGGTTGGGTTAAGTTATAAATCTACTCGTTATTCACGCAATCGGCCAAATATCTAGCGGGCGGGCGGCTAACGGCCCAGAACCGTTCCCGGATAGAATTGGAAGCGTTATATGTGTAGCATCAACCCGAGGTTGTAGGCTTTAGGCTTCCACCGGCTAAACCGGGTGAGGTTGGTGCTCTGTAAAGCGCTTGCGCGAATTTGGATGCTGACAATACGGTGGTTCCACTCCGCCACTAATATTCGAATATACAATTGCAATCTTTTTTTTCGTATAGAAATTTGTAATAAGATACGTAATGCGGTTATAATAAAATATTGTGCGATTATTTTCATATAATTAAAATCAATATGTATTTATTATTTATAAAATACAAGGGAAGCGGCGCTTCCACCGCTTCTAATGACGGCACGCCACTGTTAAATACTTTGAATGCGCGCGCACTTATTTGCCGCGGAAAACCTCCACACGAGCAAGCGATTGAGTTCCCGCAAGCATGGCACTGACTTAAAACGGCTAGCCGCTAGCTGCCAATGTAAAAGGAAACACAAATGATAAAAGAGTTTACACGCTAGAATAAATTATTATTGGCATATTTGTTCTCACATAAAAAATATATTGGCAGTCAAAACTTTCCCTTAAGCATGCTGCGCATGCTAAGCAAGCCCAGAGAATTTGCCCCTGATATTATGTTACATAGCTCATTTATAAATTGTTATTATTATATACAAGGAATAAAGACTAATTAAGTTATTTCATGAATACACTTAATACTGTACATATCTTAAAATTTTAAGAATATTAGAAAAACCCTAAAATTCTGATAACTCAAACTATACCCCACTGAGAAAATTTAAATTAAACATACAGAGTTTGTGCAATAAGTATCGGGAATGAAGTCATAAAAAGAAATTTATTGAAGATATGTGTAGAGTGAGCCAATAATTTTCAAAATGTGACCCTCCTGCATCAATACACCGCTGCCAATGCTTTTTCCAGTCTTCATACGCTTCCTGGAAAGAGGCAATCGCAAGGATGCTTAGGAACCCCGTCGAAAACGCTTGTACCACCTAAATTGTCTCGAAACGATGTCCTCTCAGGCTCCTTTGATACGAGGGAACAAAAGGAAGTCGGGGGAGTCACATCTGGACTATACGTTAAAGTAGTTGGGTCAGCATTGACATGTTGTATTTGGCCAGTGCCTCCCTCACAATTAACGATATGTGACTGGGCGCATTGTCGTGATGGAGCAGGTATCGGCGATCTCCTTTAGGACGCGACAAACCCTAATCCTCAAAAGTTCTTGCACTTTGGCCACATTTCCATCGGTTCGGGTCGCTGTCGGATATCTGCCCGGCCATCTTTATATTTTTTATGCCACTCAAAAATACTCGTTCTGGACATGGTTTCGTCCTTGTAAGTCTCGTGGATCATATCCAAAGTCTCAGTAGCGGATTTGTTCAATTTAATGCAAAATCTGGTGGCAAAACGGTGTCGATGGTTCGCTGCATCTTGACTCTCCACGCGAGCACTAAACGCACTTTCACTTCGGGCGCGATTTACACACTCCAAAGGCTAGGAGACAACTGAGCTGGGTCGCGTAGCTTACGAGACATCCCCACCACCGATCCCACCCATAGAAATCGTCCTCTACCCCTTTCCACTGGCAGGAAAAAATCAGTCCCGATACTTATTGGACAAACCCTTAGACTAAAAATTAGCTCAGAAATTGCAGCATATAACAATGAAATAACGTATAGGATGCACAAATGACGTTGTAATATTTAATAAATTTTTAAAACATCACGCGCTGGTAGTTTAAATCGTGTTAAAGTTAAAATTTCCATAAAAAAATACAATAAATATCATTTAAATGAAAAAATGCAATAAACTTTACATGCAATTAAAATTTACAAATTGAAAAGAAATCGCCACTATATTTCGTGACGTTGCAGCATTAACACTTTTCAAATATTTGAGCGTTTAAAAAATTATTTTATATGTAAAGGTCAGAATTAAATTTGCAATAAACAAAAAAATTGATTCTGCTAATTTAAATTGGCTTTTAATTAAGGAATTTAATTTAAATATGTTGTTATCTAGAAAATATCTTTTTATATCTATCCAGAAATTTTTCTCAATTCAACACTTGTATATTTGGAGAAATGATCACACATCATTGCAGCTCTGGAAAGTAATCCAGATGCGATTCCAGGAAATAAACTTCAGAAGACAAGTTGCACCCTAAATATTTCATACATACATGTATTCACGCCCTTTCCCATTAGGATTGACAGTGAATGAGCTTCCTCCACACTGTTCGATCCAAACCTACTTCTCTCGCTTCTTCCACACTCATTGAGGCCTTTCGTACACATTTACGCTGACTTCGTCCATGCATACTCATAATATTCTTTGCAATCAAAGCATTTCGCACACCATCTGTCCCAGGGCCTGCCTTGCTATGATGCAGAGAGCCGCTGCATCAGGCGGCACCGTAAGGGGGCAGCATAAAAAACATTTAAGGGCGGCATTTCGAAGACTTGCGTTATACTGAAAAAATCTACCGCACGGCCCTGATCTGTCCATCTCTTTGGCGGGTGGCGCTAGGTCGCTTGCCACACACCTCACCAACATAGACTCGCTTCAACAGTCGTTCATAGTTCATGCGCTCAACGTGTCCAAACTACCTTAGCAACCTTCTTGTGCCCGTCCTTTCGCTTGGTTTTGCATTCCACACAACTCATAAATCCTTTCATTTCTTATCCTAGCCATTCGCGTTTTGCCACAAACTGCACGCAGCATTCTCAGTTCTACAGCATTCATTCCACTAACAATTTTCTTCTGCCGCGTTCGCGTTTCACACCCATACAAGGATGGTAATAGTACTTGCTTGTACACAGGTAATCCTACTTTCTTAGGCGTACTGTACACTCATTCCGAAACAGGCAGTTAAACGCACCAACGACTTTCCTAAATCTTGATGTTCAATCTGGGTCACCAATTCTTTGTAGTTTTGAGCTCTTCTTCCCAGGAAGTTTTCAGTTACATTCTCGAAATATAGCCATGCTCTTGTTTTTTTAATCTGCCAGACATTTTTCAAAATCTGGATCTGGTTGAAGTTCTTTAATTCGAGAGCAAAGTAAAACACCTTTCTTTATTTTTGCTGGTGAAAGATGAGGAAATTTGATTAAAATATACGTATCTACCAGTACATGCCCTTTACATATTGTGTAATAAAGCGGAACTTGATGTGAAGTAGTGGAAGCATATTTTCACCATCTGTTAGACTCATGCTATACATTTTTTCTCCCATTTACCAATTTTGTTGAATCCAATTATTTTTGGTATAGTGATTCTTTCTGTCATGACTATTTTAAATTCAGTAACGTTTTTATATACATAGAGAATATTGTATCCCTCTAATTTGGAACCTAACAGTTTAGCTTTTTGCTCACTTAACTCCAAGTCACGGACTAAATCAATTATATCCATTTGAGTTAAAAAGTGTCTGACTGGATCACTTGTGTCCTGATATACAGGATCATTTTTTCAGGAGACGATAGAACTTCCTTATTATTACTTCCTTCATTCTCACTCTCAGTCATTTATAGCTCTCGAACGAACTGAAATTGCAAATTAACATTGTGCAGCCTAGTAACTCAACATCTGAAACAGAGTCTGGGAAGTTGTTATTGTCAACTGCTCTACCAAAAATTTTGTAAATTTGAGTAAAATGAGACTTTAATATACTTATAACTGAAAGATTGTGCCTGATAGAAAAATTCTGATTTAATATTTTTATTTCTCATAACAAATTGCTTCAGAAACACTTATTTTCATTTAAGAATTATTTCCCCTGTAGAACCAGTTTTTTTAATTAGCGAAATGTGACTTCACGTATATAATTTTTTAAAGAAAAAATATGGCATTATTTTTAAAATGTGAAAAATTCTCTATTTTGTAGACATTTAACGCCAAAATATACTATAAATCTGTTTATTGTTGCTTTTTAAGATTAAGTCATATCTCATTTTTGAAAAAGTAAAAATTTATAATTTAAAATGATAAAGTACTAAATTTGGATTAACATTTTTGCATTGTCATAACAATTAATCAATAATTAATAAGAGAAACAATTAATTAATTGTTTAATAATTTAATAATTTTCCATTGTTTTAACACCTATTCGGTTGGATCGCAAGAAACAAGAATTACAAAATGTCGAGTGCAGTAGCTCTGAAACGAATTAAAAGGGAATTGATCAGTTTCACCAGAGATCCACCAGATCATTGCTTGGCTGGACCTATCAACGACATGTTTAACTGGAAAGCTACCATAATGGGTCTACCCGATAGTCCTTACGATGGAGGCGTCTTCTATCTCATCATTCCCTTCTCCAACCATTATCCGTTTCGACCTCCACGAGTTAAATTCGAAACCAAAATTTATCACCCAAACATCAATAGAGATGGTTAGATTTGTTTGGACATCCTAGGAAGCAAATGGTCTCGGCACTGGCCATTTCCAAACTGCTACTTTCTATATCTTCGCTTCTGTGCGATCCGAACACCGAAGAGCCTTTTAAATGTTTACGTAGTTGAATTATACGAGACCGACAGAGAAAGATATAACGAAGCGCGTGAATACACTATGAGATACGCAATGGAATAATGAAAATTATTTTCCGAAAGTTTTGATTCGTCGTTTGCGGTTTATTTATTTTTTCTTCTTGTTACCAGAAGATTCGTCATAAATCTGGCTAATCTCTAATAAAACACGTTTATTTTTGCAATATTATAATAATTATCTGAAGGAATGAGTTAAAATTTGTTGCATAAACAAATAAATAACATGTTGAATTTTCGAAATGCATATGTAAAAATATAATAAAAGAATTCATTAACTTGATGCTGTAAGATAGTCTACCGAAAGAATTTGTCGGATTAAAGAGACAACCATTCACAAACGAATATACAGCTGTAACCAGTAAATTCAAAATAAATAACAATTATGCATTATTCTTGTGGATACTTTTTTTTTATTAAAAACTAAAACAACATATATTTGGATTTTTCGTATATGACAACGCGACACGTGGGCGATTTGACAAGTGGGATGCTTCCAGGTAAGTCTATGGGAAAGCCCCCTATTTAGGTGTTAACTACATAATATGTTTTAATTATCCTATGTATGTTCCCGAATCTTCACTTCAAAATATAATTTTAAGAAAATTTGAAAATGCGATATGGCTCGCTTGAATCTTATCAGTAGCATTAAATGGCCCATGATGTTAAATGCATTTGACACACTCAGTTTAATGAATATTCAATTTTTATATAATTTAATTTATCAAGTTTTTATATTATGAAATGTTTATTAAGTTACTTTATAATGCCTGTAATTAAATTAAACAGAATATTTTAAATAAACAGAACTTTATAAATATATACAGAATTTTCAATTTGAGATGCAGCTCCAAGTTCTTGGTATTATGTAATCTTTCCAGGAATTCTAAAATAAATTTTATATATAATTACATTTAATTCAAATTAAATGATTAAATCAGTAAGCATATAGTTTTTAATAAAAAATTACTCACTGAATGAGATGGGCAATTAATTCTAGAATACCACTCCAAACTGTAAAAAAATATCATAAGTCCCCATCCAAAAAATAATCCTGTCCAAAGAAAGATGTTCCATCCTGATGATTTTTTTTGTCGAGTTAAAAACATAACCCAAACTGTAAGAAAAAACAATTATAAAATGAAAATGTTATCTAAATACTTTTACAGAATATTTAAATATTACAGCAATAATATTTAGATACAAAATAGAAAACAAAAGGAAATTATGTTTCATACAGATTCATACAAAATTTTTTAAAAAGTTATAAGAACTTATAATCAACAATAAAATAACAAAAACAGTAATTTATAATTGTACATTAGTTTTCATTCTTTTATCTGATGCATTAATCATTCTGGGGAGTTCTGGAATTGTGCCACCACCTTGTATGCAGGTATTGTATACCCTGTATTCTGTATATTTTGTATTTTGTTTCTCTCTTATTCTCATCAATAAATGTGTTGTAGGCACTCATGATCCTACCCCTTCACCACCTATCCTACCTCTCTCTCCATTTCACCTTCACCCCTCTCCTAAACCTCTCTTTCCTTCCCATTTCATCCTCGAGTGATACCACTGAGTAGTCTCGAGCTTTCACCCCCTTTCCAGTTACGATGTAACGATGAGGAGTTCTGGTGTGTGTATAATGTAGGCATCATTCCATAAGACAGTTTTAATATCTTAAATGGATACAAATATTACTAGCCTGGTGAAAAATTTTCTATGTTTTGTGTATGGTGTTTGATGTGATAACTGGTCAAGATTACTGTCATTATGTATCAAGGAGCAATATTCAACATGAAACAAGAAAATTTTTCATTACAATGGCAGCATATTTGCATCTATCATCATCATATATCATCATCTTACATAACAATGTCCACATTATTAGATATGCTATATAATTCATTTTAGCCAAGAATAGCAAAACCATCAAAATCCATAAATATGCAGAAACAAATGCATTAATCACCATAATGCCTACATTCTATCTCAGGGGTGGCCAACAGTTTTTGCCCTCGGGCCTAATTGAAAAGAAAACTTTTTCCATGGACCAAACCAGAGGTTGCCCTAGGAAGATTTTGAGGTGGTGCGAGATCTCATTGTGATGTCACCCCATAGAGACTAAACTGTACACAGAGATTGCAGATACATTTTTCACATTATCATGCTTTTTCAACACTGTACACTGTACTTACGAGATTTGTAATGGAGAGTTAACTCTAAACACACAGTGACTTGTTGACCCTTTTTTTTTAGGCGTCAGAATTTTTCATTGAGCTATTCGGACTTCAATAGCGAATATTGAAAGATTGATCGCAGGCCACATAAATTCATTAAACGGGCCAGATCAGGCCCGCGGGCCGTATGTTGGCCATGCCTGTTCTATCTAATGCCTGGAGATCTGCTATTTCATCACTTAGGCTGTTAATTTTTGTACTTTCAAAACTTCTTAAATTTTCTGATTTATCCCTTCCTTTTCCTATCCTTGAATTTTTATTACAGATATTTCTGCTGTCAGAATTTTATTATTGGTCTTATTTACATTATATCTGGCTGCTAATTTTTACTCTCATTCTAAATTATTCCCCATATGCAGTCTTGAATCTGATAACAACTATTTAAAATGATTTGAAATATTGTTCTCCAAAAACTCAACAGTTGCCTAACCTAAACAAAACCTTACAATCTAACAGGGACATTCCTTTTGAATTCAAGAACTCTGACTTCTCTGACAGGATGTCAAAATGATAACTCCTAAATGAAAATCTCAAATGAAAACATTTATTAGGAAATCTGATACTTTTTAGAAACAAATGTTTTTCAATAAAATAACTAAATCTAAGTTGTATACATGTATAAATATCTCAAAGCTCAATAGTTATATTAAAGCCAACAATTACTAAATTGAATCAGACTACATTACTAATAATTATTAAATACTGAGTAATTTGGCACTAGAGATAAGCATTAGGTGCCACCTCTTATTAAATTTAATAATTATAATTAAATTATTATTTATTAAATAATTTAGAAAATTCTGGAAGAAAAGAATCAGCCTGGTGTAGGACTCAAACCTGCAACTGCCACTTACCATGCAAATACCAGTTACGTTACCTGGACCTCCATCGGATCCTTTACTTCCAGAATTTTCTAAATTATTTAATAAATATTACTTATAATTATTAAATTTAATAAGAGATGATGGCTAATGCCTACCTCTAGTGCTAAGTTACTTCATATTTAATAATTATTAGTAGCAGTAATGTAGCTCAATTTAATCTGGTAACTAAAATGTACAATACATTATTACTCTATTTACAATAAAGAAACTGCAAAACACAAAAAACATTGCTCTGGCTAAAGTTAAGAGGGTGTGAACTTTAGGGATGGTTGGGAGTGGAATCCAAACATTATTTTTCTAGGGTGTTAGAGAATATTCTTTCTGGCAAGCCCCTAGAGCAATAGACTAATGCCTTCTCAGCCATACAGCTGTCTTGCATTTCTCAACTATTTAAAGAAAATATATGCTTGCCTGCAGTGGTTTTAATGGAAACATAGACAAAACATTCCCTAATAGTTTTAACATACATCTAAATTCCAATAAGTTAATTATCATAACTGAACTACAGTTTACCCCTAGCAATGCAGTCTGTAGACCTTTACATAACTTGAATTTGTAAATTGCTTAAGTGTAATTACATAATTAATTAATAATTCAATACTGTATTTATTATTATATGTATGCTGTACATATATTATTTATTATTGTTTTGTATAAAAGAATTGTTTATAAGAAAGAGTGCCTGGTAGGCTTGCATACATGTTTACAATTAGACCGAAAAGTAAAGGATTTGCAGAGCAGTAAGTACAGTAATAAATCAGTACAGTGCAAAATATAGAAAGGAAAAGAGAGAGAGAATGAATAAATGTTTGAAATAGAATAATTGTTTGTAAAATTACATGTTACTCTACTTGGATTTTTTTCCAATTTTTGAGATTTACATTTTATGTAACTGCAAATTTACGTAAGCTGCATGTTACATAACTCAGGGTATTACTGTATATATATTTATATGCAGTTTTCTATTAGAAAATCTTTCATAAAATTTTAAAAAAATATCACTTTTGGATAGCTGTTTTTATGTTCAATGTATGTCTTGTCTCTTTAATCCGACATTAAGTTCGGTAGACTATCATTACAGCCTTTAGGTTAGACACTTCTTTTATTGTTTCCACATATGCATTTCGGACTTATATAAATGTTAAGTCCCTCTTCAGTGCAATACTATGGTTCTGTCTTTTAAAACCACGGTGTACAACGGGTAACATTGGAAAGATTTTAAAATACAGCTCTTAAAGACACAACTTTAAAAGCTGTATTTTAAAATCTTTCCAATATTACCCGTTACAATTACGTAAATTACAAATTATAATACGTAAATTAAAAAAATTTTTTTTTTGTAATTTACATAATGTGAAAATGTGTTTTTTATGATTTGATTTGTTTCTATGATATAACATGATTGTTTTAATATTTCTTGTTTATTTGAACTAGCACTAAGGAGGGGTTGGAGTACATTATACCAACCCGAAATATATTTGTAGTTCGATGGAAAATAAATAATTTGCTAACTAGAAATTGCTGTGTGATACGTCTACCAAAGTGTGTTTTTTTGGATTACAGAGACGGATTTACATTTGTAATATACCATACAGCAAGCCGTTTATATATTATATATTAAAGAAAAACATAAAGAATATGATTATAACTTTTCTAACGGATTTGCTTCCTTGTTTAAGGTGACACATGGAATGTGTCACCGGGAACTAAAGGAAAAATCGTCATTGGACCGTAGAACGATTTTACCATGAAAAGGACAAGAGTTGAGAGGGGCAGGACCGCCGAAATAAAAGAACGGGTCCGATGACGCGACAGAGAGTTTTGAAGGTTGGTGGTGTGTGTGCACTCGGATACAGTTTGCTGCCGATACTCCGCCAATAGCCAGCGATCAGGAGCTTAACCGATGACCCCAAGTACCCAACAAAGAGTATAGTGTATCCTCCTCCGAAAAAACAGCCCAAATCAAGAGAGGGATCTTTAGGTAAATGCCCGGTGCGAACGTTTGTAAACTCTCTCTCGCTTAAAGCTCATATGTGTAAATAGTTTATATAATCAATAAACGGGTATTATTTTTCGTAATCGAGTCTTAAAGTGCACTTCTTTCGCCCAATCTGTCTCCATTCCAAATCCGAACGCCTCTCGCGAAAAACAAAAAAAAAAAAAAAAAAAAAAAATTTCTGTGTCTGTCCGTTAGACACAGTAATGTCAGTCCTGACGAACTAGTCATCCCCAATGTGTTGGTCACGTGGTGCCGAAGCAATAGGGTGCGCTTCAGCATTGTCACATTTTCCTTAATGTATATACTGAAGTTGTTATTCACTTTATTTTACTAGACACGATAATTCAGAAAGTGTCCGTAAAACTTAAAATTTTCTGATAAAACGATGTTTCATAAATTATGTAAGTGAATGCACATATTTATAATTAGGTGTCGTTTTTATATAACGGGTGTTCTCTTGTGTATCCTTCGACAAATTGTCTATTGTGNCTGGTTTACCATTTATTTTGAATGGGTGAGAGGACACAATACTTATGTTCTCCAAGACATTTCATACAATTTTGTCATATTTATTTAATCTATTTTTAGAACATAACATAAAACAACTTTAATTATTATTGCCTTACTGTCCTTTAGTTTCTTAATATATATTTTTTGTCAACTTGGACATTAAGTAGCTCAATAAAGAAAGTCTGTTTTCTTTAAGAACTTTTTCCTCAATTCTTGCATAAAAACTTAAAAACCAGTATAATTGTCCTATTAATAATTAATGTCCAAGTTGACAAAAAAATATATATTAATAAAACAGCTTTAATTATTAACATTCAGGATATTAAAAAAGGAATTGGCTCATCACTTATTGTGTCAGAAACAAATTCCAAATATTGAATAGTATATTAAATAAACAAATAATAATAATAGTGAAAATTAATTCTAAAAATCAAAAATGACATTTTTCTTTTGCCCAAATTTTTATTTAAATAAATGCTAGATTATTTACATCACCAAACGATCGCCTAAATATCGGGCTATAATATGGCTACTTTAAATAATTGGAATAAAGTAATTTGACATTAGAGGTAGGCGTTAGGCACCATCTCTTAATTAAATTAATAATTAAAATTAAATAAATAAATTATTAAATAAATTTAGAACATTCTGGAATAAAATTTGGCCAGTTCTTTTATTCCAGAATGTTCTAAATTTATTTAATAATTTATTTATTTAATTTTAATTATTAATTTAATTAAGAGATGGTGCCTAACGCCTACCTCTAATGTCAAATTACTTTATTCCAATTATTTAAAGTAGCCATATTATAGCCCGATATTTAGGCGATTGTTTGGTGATGTTAATAATCTAGCATTTATTTAAATAAAAATTTGGGCAAAAGAAAAATGTCATTTTTGATTTTTAGAATTAATTTTCACTATTATTATTATTTGTTTATTTAATATACTATTCAATATTTGGAATTTGTTTCTGACACAATAAGTGATGAGCCAATTCCTTTTTTAATATCCTGAATGTTAATAATTAAAGCTGTTTTATTAATATATATTTTTTTGTCAACTTGGACATTAATTATTAATAGGACAATTATACTGGTTTTTAAGTTTTTATGCAAGAATTGAGGAAAAAGTTCTTAAAGAAAACAGACTTTCTTTATTGAGCTACTTAATGTCCAAGTTGACAAAAAATATATATTAAGAAACTAAAGGACAGTAAGGCAATAATAATTAAAGTTGTTTTATGTTATGTTCTAAAAATAGATTAAATAAATATGACAAAATTGTATGAAATGTCTTGGAGAACATAAGTATTGTGTCCTCTCACCCATTCAAAATAAATGGTAAACCAGATAAACTAATGCCATTTATTTTTAAAATTATAAAAATTATAGTTTTCATTTAATTCAGTACTGTTTATATAATTTTTATTTGTTTGAAAATATAAATAATAAAGATTTCAACAAATATAAAAATTTGATTTTATTTTGTAGGCTTCAAAAATGCATAAAATATAGTTCACCACAAAAATAAATATTTTTAAAAAGATGCAACTGGATTAGCAATAAACTCAATGGTTTCTTCTGAACAATAAGGGTGTGGGATATAATATATACATTTACTAAATTTTCCACTAACAATGCCAAAGGCTTTCCATATTGCCTGATTTATAGATCCATATCAGATGTTATAGTATTGACAATTAATCCCACATCTTCACTATATTTAATCATATCAAGAATTATATTTTTTAAAACAGAATCATCTGTTAAGTTGCTATTATAAAAGTATGCTACAGTCTGTTTCTACCTTGTAAATATACACTTAACATAAAGACTAGTGAAAAAGTAGCCAAGCCTGTATTATTGATAATGTTACCTCAGCATAATATGTATTAGTACTTGTTTCATAATCAATGCTTGGAGTTAGTGATGTTTCATCCAAAAGTAAAACACATTGCTTTTCTTTATCTGTTTCCATATCATCAACATTTATTGTAAAAAAAAAAACTTGAACACTGTACAATATTCCACTTTCAAGTTTTAAGTTTTCCAGTCATCTACATAAAGTTCTTAAAAATAGATAAGGCAAATTGCATTTGAGTAAGCTGTCATAACCTTTTGAACCACAGCTAAATCTCAATCCTAAATGCTGTACATAATGTTTCATTGAACCATTTTTTAAAACACAGTGATCTTCAAGAAATGCAAGCTAGTTGATCCTTTTTAATGTGTTTTGTAGAGCTGTCTTAACTTTCTTATCATTTTGGCAATCTCTGAATTTTTGTATTCTATTCCTAACAAATCATTTATCAAGACTGATTAATTTAATGTGTAATTCAGAAATTATTTGATCCTTTTTAGCACGTTCCACTATAGTGGTGAAGTGCTTATGTTAAGGCTTTTGTGTGTCTGTCAGATGTGCACACACATGCACATACCAATCCATTTATTGTGCATGTCCATGCACATACACAAAAGGAAACTGAACATTTTCATTTACGGTCACTATAAGCTGTAGTAAAAACTATGCAGTTCTTCTGGAATCTATAAACATATCCCTTATTGTATATTCAGTGAAAAATTCTTCTGAACAACTATTTGCTTCCAAGAATTTATAAAATTTATTTTAAACAAAATTAATACTTGATTTGTTTTCCTGGAGCATGCTATCTGATTGGCTGACCAAGCTTGTTCAATATTATGCTTTTAACTTATCAATTATTTTGTCTTTACATTTTTCAAAACTGAAATCTTCATTGAATATTGTAGAATTAATATTGAAAATTATCTGTTGAGGGTTAATAACTTGATGCTTGTTCAACAGAACTTGCATCATCTTTTGAAATTTTACAGGCTTTTGAAGGAAGTGGGTTTCTTACTGTGTGAAGTGGTGGAACCTTTCTAGATATTTTAGGTGTTGCATAAAAAAATATGGAAGTGACAGCATTATGCTTCAATTTTCTAGTTCCATCAACTCTAGTTTTTTCCCATTCATCAACATGAAAATGTACCTGAAAATCAGATTAAGTATATCATTTCAGATATTAAGACAGCACATTTTAATTTAAATAGTTTATGCTACTACTTATTTAACTGCATGGAACTTATTAAATAATTATGCAATTACAAACCATAACATAAGTAACATATGTAAGTAAAAATTATCTTGTAATTAAAGACACTCATATTTATAGTAATATATATAAGTCATTACTAAGAAATTAAGAAATAGATTGATATGATATCATCTATATTATATAAAAATGAATATATGTCTGTATGTCTGTCTGTCATTCCTTCAAGCATTACTACACCATTTATCCGATAATTCTGGCATAGTACAATTGCCATGAAACTTTGGGAAGTTTTTTAATACACTCCTGTGAAGGTTTCTGGCATAGTACATTTATCCTACAATAGATGGTGCGTGTGTATACGAGCATTTCATTGTGAGCATTTCAGCACGGTTAGGAGTTGAAACTTGAAATTTGGTGCACAGTTAAGCCGAATGCTCACATGCAGCGCGGCAAGGAAAAGCGGTGTCACAAATGCAACTTCGTTGCGCAGTGGCAATCTGCTTACATTTTGGCGCATGTGTTCAGTATTCAAGATGGCGAATGATACCAATATTGTTGCTATCCATGTGTTTACAAATTTTGTTTTGTACGACTTGCTTTATTTAGTTAGAAGATTTTGTCAAAAATTCGAATGAAGATTTTGGATTAGAGATATTTTCTTGGATTGATAAAGAACTGGTGTACAAAATATGCTTATTCCTCGATAGAGAATACTAATTCAAGTAAGATTCGGTTGTTTTGTTCTTTGAAATAAATTATATATGATTATTTGTGTAGAATTTGTGTTAAATTTATTATCCTTTCCTCTTTATTCTGATGTTAGTTATCTCGGTTAACTGTGTCAAACTTTCCACCATTAAAACACCACGTGATTGTATTTTCTCACATGACTACCAGACAAACTGTTATTGGCTGATAGAAATGAGTCTTGGCTGTGGTTGTCACAAAAGATAAAATTCAACCAACTTTTGTAGCACGAGAAAAGCGGCACAAAATCAACTTCTGCGGTGAGATAAGTGACGTCATCCTGCCACTTTTCCTTGCCGCGCCGCATGTGTGCATCCAGCTTTAGGGTACGTCATGAGAATGCACACTAACAAGGAATTTTTTGAAATTCACCCCCCCCGCGGGGAAAGTAACAGGATTAAGGCTTCAACAATGGAAGTGTTAAGGGAAAGCAACGTGCAAGATTTACAGGCGCAGATGCGGTTTTTTGCGTTAAATCAAACATAATATTAGACCCATCTAAAAATTTTCTAATTAGTCTGGAAACAGGGGAACCTAATTCTTGCATTCTGTGAAAACAGGTAAGATTGGCTGTAATGTAATAATCTTAATCTTCGCTATCATTACTTTTTGCCCAAGCAATGCCGAGCTTATCTGCTAGTATAATATAAACTATACACACACATACACATATATATATATATATATAATGTATAAAATATATAATTTATACAGGTTTATATTACAGTAGAGCGTCATTTATCTGAATCAATTGGGGACTGGGGTTATTCGGATAACTTATTTTATGGATAACCGATTATGTATGAAAATATATTAACCTATTCCATGTTGAAATTTTTCTCCGTTGTGTGTCACTTTGTGTTGAATTTTCGTTGATGTTAAGCCTAGTGTAAACTTTTTACAATAATAATCATAGTATTGTATCATTAAAAATTATTTCTTTATTTTGTACAAACAAAACAAATACATTTAAAAATATAAAAACAAAAAAAATTATATTTTGGAAGTTAATCTAGTATCAAAAACATTTGATTCAGCACAACACAGTCCAACTGGAACGCATTCAGTTAACCAACATTTCGGTTGATTGGCTTTCGAATAAACGATGCTCTACTGTATACAATATCCTTTCAACAGTGGGATAGTCAGGTATGGTGCTATCCCAAAGTAGTGGAGAATAAACATGGGAAATTTTTTAAAGTATTTTTTCACGTGTTTTTTCTCATTACCATTTTGGAAAAAGATTTTGTAAACAGTTATGTCTAGTAAAGAAAAGTCTTTTTTTATTGTTACATAATTCATTTTTTATGTGAATTTTTTTTGTGGTAGTTTTTGGTGATACCCCAAAAGAATTTAACGGATGTATCCGTTCCTCACCACTGCCACACAATGGCCCTGGACGGATATATCTGTCCCTCAGTGTCGAGTGAATATCATATCGATCTATTTCTTAGTAATGACATATATATATTACTATAAATATGAGACTCTACTTATGTTATAAGATAATTTTTACTTATGATTTGCTATTGCATAAGTTCCATGCAATTGGAACTTATGCAATAGCATAAGTTCCAATTGCATGGAAGTAAAATATATTATATATATGTTTATAGAAGGTAAATGTATTCTACTGTGAGATGTATTTATAAAACAACTTAATTCCTGCACAATACACATCATACTTATATATTATTATTATTATTGTTATTTATTAAACTAAAATAATAATTTATTATAAGTGGCTTATGATAAATACTGTATAATTAAAATATATTTATTTTTCATCAATCATTTCAATATCAAATTCTATTTTATATATTTTATGTTCTAAATTACAAATATACTGTAATTTACAATGCTTTTTATTAAAATAAGGTAGATTTGTATAATTAAGGACTATCATATCAGATATTATATATCACATATTATAAATATTAAACTATATCAATATTCATAGTTAATTTATGTATACTGAATTTTTTTAATTTAAATTTTAAGCAATTTGGACTGTTTTATGAATGACTATATCGTCTGAGTATAAAATAAAAATTTTACATACATAGATGATTGTTAATACTTTACTTACCTCAAATAAATAGCTGCAGTTGGTTGCTTTGCAGTTTTCACTTTTGTTTCCCAAAGTTTGACATGCAGGAGCTTTCAGAAAACTTTCATCAAAAATCCATTCTCACTGTGATTTGTGCAGCCAAAAGCAGCACATCCAGTCATACTCTCAGAATTATCAGTGTGAAATAAATTAAACTAAACAATAACTTCTTACTTAACTAACAAATATCAGTAATATTTACAATAGAGAGGTTGCGGCCGACGTTTTCATCACGAAAACGTGTACGTTGGATGTTCAGCGTTGCTTTCCTATAAGCCTAAAAGTTTGACAACGGTGCTTGGATAGTCAGTGGAATCATGCTCAACATCCCAAACACCATTGCCAAACTTCTAGGCCTTTAGGAAAGTGGCGCTGAACATCCGTACACGTTTTTGCGTTGAAAACGTCGGCCGCAACCTCTCTAATAACAAATTGAATAAAACTCAAAAACTAAAGATCAATACAAATAAACAGTATACCATCATTCAAAATATTGTCTATATATTCTTAATATCACTAACCTTTGATTAATTTTAATTTGTTTGCAGACAATGAATGTAGAGACGATAAAATTTATCCATATTTTCGTTCTGATCTTGCTAACATGCTGTTCAGAAGAATAATGGTAGCTTAAAGTCATGTGATCACAAATTGCTAATAGAAAAGCATTCCTTTTATATAGCCACTCTCTCATTATAGGTTCTCTACATACTATGAGCCTCTAGTGATATCTAGTGATAAGACATATATAATGGCACCCTCCCAGAGGGATGAGTGTTTCACAATGTCTCTTCATAAAATGTAATTCAAGCACAAAACATTGTATCACAAGACAGTGTGGAACTTGTATTATATATGTACTGTACAGTACATATACTATATGAGTAAATAATAATTGAACTAACTTGTAAAATGTCTGTATGCATTATATTGTCAACATGCTGATAGAGGTATAACAAAAGTATTACCACAACATTGGTGATATATAATTGTCCAAGACATCCAATAGTCCAAGCATTCATGGTTTTGTCCAAAATAATTAGTGATCCAAGCCAAAGCACAAAATTAACCTAAAACTATTATGCTACCTCTAGTAAACTCCATTGTTGGAAAAATATAGTCCACAAGATACTCATCACATCTAGGAACAATCATCAGACTAGCAGAATGGGTACTGTGATTCATCTGTGCAAAGCATGTTTTCATTGATCTGTAGTCCAAGATCAATGCTTCTCACATGATGTTAATTAGCATGTAGCATTAGTTGACATGCCTAGCAGCTTGTAAGCATATGCACAACCATGGTAATTCATATCTTTATGGTGCAGTAAAAGTTTGTCTCTAACAATTTTGGTCTTCTTAATTGGCCTTCCTTGGAAAATTTAAAATTCAGAAACTAACAAAAGCCTCAATATATTCAAATTAAGTGATCTAGAATAAATTAAGGCTTTTGTTTAATTTTGATTTTTCAATTTCTTGAAAAAGGTCGATTAAGAAGACTGAAAGTGTTAGAGAAATAAACTTTTATTGCATTGTAAAGGTAGTCATACCGTGGCAATGGTAATCCATACCAATTGATATAGTGTTTTGTACATATTATTGCAAATGATTTGAACACCAGTAGTCTCACAATATTTAAGTGACTTCACACAATGTTAAGTGCACAGTAATATGACAGCTGGAAAAATGTACAGAAGACTATGCACACAGCTGTCATACTATATTATTTTCAAAGTTTATTGAGCCAGTTTTTGGCAAGATCAAGCCGTTTTTACTTCAATTTACATATATCAGAAATCATCAACTAAGGAATCTTTAATACTGCTAACATGTCACATGGGGCAACTGCTTATGTAGCACTAGAATTCTGCTTTGAAACTCTATTAACTCTCTTGACCAAGACTTGAACACCTCCTTCTAGTGACAAATTATTTAGTAATTAATTTAAATTAATTGCAAGACAATAGTCTCCTATAATAGTCTCCTATAATGTAGTCTCCTATAATGTAGCTGGGTGGATGTCACATTAGCTAATGCTCACATGGTTCCCATGATTAATTACTGCTCAACTATGGAAGAACCGAGTTCCAGTAATCATCATTATGTTAAAATTGAACTAAACATTGAAATCAATAGGATCAAAGATATTACCACCTACAGCTGTACCCACTGGAACCACTTACATCTGCTACAGAACAACTGGGTCATGGATTCTCCTATTACTGGTATGACAGAATATGGAATTGACCAGTGTGTTTCTGACCTGACTAAGACCATACTCCTAATAGTCTCCTATAATGTAGTGGTTGTTGGCATTTTAGTATCTGAATACTAATGATAAAACAAATACATTTTATTAAAAAAATGTACTATGATTATTTTCGATTTATTTAACTTGGTAATTAAGAATTATCACTATTTATGTTTTTATTTTTAATAAAACATTTTAAAAGTGACAAATATTTTAGTAAAATATCATAAAATAATATCATATTCATTTCATCTAAATAGTTTCACTTGTTCAGGAAGCTTCTCAAACACAAAGTCCAACCAAATTGCTCTTTCTGGAGTTAACTTTTCAAAAATTCAAAAGCTTTAGTGTTGTGTACTCAATCAAAAATTTGAATGTCATCATCTTATGAGGCCATTATTCAAAATCTATTACTAACTACTGAGTATGGTTATGTAACCAAAAGAACTGTCTTGGATACATTGAGTCACACCCACAAGGCAGAAAAATAGAAAACAAAGAATTTTGTTTTTGAAGACTTTTTGACAAGTTTTTCACTCAACAGAAAAAAACAATTTGAGTTAGATTTTACAAACTTTCTTCTTTAGTAATTAATTTTAATTCATTTAGATATCATCTTAGTTTTTAGATATCTTATTTAACCATGTTATTACTTTCAATTCTTTTAAAACTTGTTTGTAGCACCACCATTTTTTAATAACTATATTAATAAAACAAATCTCTAATATCTTTTCATTGCAATCTATTCATAAATAAAGAGAAATTTTGCTTAATTTAATCTCTTTTGACTTTGAAGAATCTAATACAGAAATTTATAGCAATTATTTGATAAAAATGGAGCAGTTTTTCAGTTTAAATTTTAGTATTTTCAATTTGTTATTTATAAATATAATATTTCTTCAATCTTTAATATCATAGAATTTCAATTTAAATTTTCTTATAATGTTAATAAGTTGTAATTTATAACTGTTTTCAATTATTTTAAAATAATGTTTAAATCTTAAATAAATTAATTAATAATAATTGATTAAGAATGAGTGAATTATTATTGTATGATTTTCTTAAAAGTATTAAGTATATTGGTGTCATCCCAGCAAATGAGGCCCCAATGTAATTCTCTGTCAGAGTTAAATGTTAATGGCCAAAAAGAACAGAAACTTGATAGTTCAAATATGTTACATGTCTGAAAAATTAGTCTTTATCCTACAATCCCATAAGAAGGGCCTCTTTCTAAACTCTATATTTAATTTCCCTTTCTGTTTGATTGCATTATCTTACTTTCTTACAAAAAGCTATTCATTTTAGTAGAAGAAGATTCATCCTAATAAACAAACTCATACATTTTGGGAATGATTTCTACAACTATAGTCTAGCCCTACTAGTGAACATCAATAAAAGAGTGGTCAATCTTTTAGAATCAATCTCATTCAGATTAAGAAGAAACATCAGAGAAAGATCAAATTGCTTGCCAAACATCAAAGACTTAATTCCAACAGAGAATTACATAGGGGTTTCATTTGCTGGGATGACATCAACCCTCCTGAACATCTATCCACTATATTATATAAAGATTAAATAACGATAATACCATTTTCTCCAATACTAATTTCTCAACTAATGTAACTGTCTATATATATATATACACTAAGGTATTATTTAGTACAGCTTTAGTTAACACACAAATTAAAGAACTTGAGTTATCAAAAAAGTTGTCTAAGAAAAGCAGTTTGAATTGGATATAATTTGAGGAGCTTTCTTAACAAGTATAATATTCATTAATGTATATTACAATCTATAATAAGAAAAATTAACCAAAGCAAAAATACACTAACCGAGTAAAATTGGCGATCTGCAAAACGTAAAATTTCAGCAAACATATTTAACCAGCAATGCAGCATTCCATAAAATAACAAAAACATGCAAAGACTACCAACAAGTACTGCTTTTGTTTGAATTAAAATAATATCTGCTTTTGTGAATTGAATAAATCCAACTTGACTAAATGTTGTCACTAGAAATCGGCAGAAAGGTACAAATGTAGTGAAAATACATGCAACAAATTGAACAAAATATATTGCTACTTTCTTCCAAGATGTTCTTGGCAACCTATAAAATTAAAAAGTATATGTATCAAATAAAAATGTAATAAATCTAAAAAATAAGAGAAAATTTTGAATAGTATTTATATTGATATTAAAAATTAAACTGCCATATTTATGAGTTTGTGAGGTTATTTTTAACAAATTTCACATTATTTAAATAAAATTTTACATACCAGTATTATGTTATAAAATTTCATGTAAATTACACTTTTATAATATATAATATCTAAATGCAATTATATCTAATAAAAATAATTACAATAGTAATGGAACAAATTTTTTAATTTCATATGTGAGTAATTTTATGTTATATACAAAATAAAAAATTAGGAAATAAGTATATAAAGTTAAAATCTTGTATTTTAATTTAAAATTATCATAATATTAATTTAACTTCAAGAAAACAAATATAGTCAAATAAATAATGATTTTTCAAAAAATTTTTATGGAAATTGCTGCCCATGTTAATACTTTTACAAAAATATTAATAATTAATTGATGCAGTAAGTGTGCAGAGTTTCATTCATATGCAATGGGCATTTTCCAAGTTATCTAACTTCAAGATACCAAAGGAGCAGTTGGAAACAAGTTTTATTGAAAGATGAGTATTCACTTTCCAAACAGATTAGTTTGCTCAGAGTCCAAAACTTATTGTGTGCTCAGTGAACATCTGTATATCACTGAGCGCACAATAAGTTTTACAAGTTACAGGAATATTTCTGGTTTACAGGGTTTACATCTCATATACTTTGGCTGTTGTAAATAAGCACAAGCAGACTAATGTGTAAATCTAATTGAGATTAAATAGAAATTAATGTTACAGACTTCTGTCAGTTTGCACATTTCTACTTAGAATTGAATAGGTGTAATTTCTGTTGATTGTTCAAGAGATGGTATTTTGTTATTTTTATCTCACAGATGGTTGACTTTCTTGCTAATGACTCTTGCCATTAAGGCTGTACCAAGTCACTTAGTCTTGACAAATATTTATCAATTGTGTCCAATGTACAGTAGAGAGTCGATTATCCGAATCAATTGGGGACTGGAGTTGTTCGGAAAATTGATATTTCGAATAACTGATTATGTACGGAAAAATATATTAACCTATCCCATTTTGAAATTTTTCTCCATTGCGTGTCGCTTTGCATTGAATTTTCGTCGATGTTAAGCCTAACAAAGACTATTGTATCGTTAAAAATTATTTTTTTATTTTGTACGAACAAAATAAATATATTGAAAAATATAAAAACAATTAAAAAATTATACTTCAGAAGTTAATTTAGTATCAAAAAAGTAAAATATTCAAATAGTCCAAGACATAGCCAAAAATTGCAGTGCCACAGCACTGGCGAAAATTTAAATTTGCCGACTGGAATTCTTTCGGATAATTGACATTTCAGATAATTGACGCTCTACTGTACTAGACCAGGGGTGGCAAACAGTTTTTGCCCCTGGGCCGAATTGGAACGAAAACTTTTTTCAAAGGCCGAACCAGAGGCTGCCCTAGGAAGATTTTGAGGTGGTGCAAGATCTCATTGTGGTGTCACCCTGTAGAGACTAAATTGTACATAGAGATTACAGATACATTTTTCACATTATCATGCACTATCAACATTATAGGCTGTACTTAAGAGATTTGTAATGGAGAGTTGATTCTAAATGCACAGTGAGTTGTTGACTTTTTTTTTTAGGCATCAAAAGTAGCTATTAGATTTCAGTAGCTAATATTAAAAGATTAATTGTGAATTCATCTTTATCATAAATTCATTAGACGGGCCATATGTTGGCCATGCCTGTACTAGACTAAGATGATGACATTTTAGGATATATGGAGGACATTTCTTTTTAAAAAAATTAGCATTAAATCTTGTCACTAAAACACTTTTGGTATTGCAAACAAACTGGTTTACCTAAAAATACCAATTTGATATTCTCAAGATAAACCAGAACACAAAATGATTATATAATGAAACACACCTTTTGATTTCCAGCAGTATTAATTTTAGAGATGCAGAAAGTGTATCCCCAGCATGGAAATATATTTTTGAAACGTGAACTTTGACACTTACAGCCTATTGATTATTTTTAGTTATATACTTATTTATTTATGTTTCATTTACTTTAAAAGTTAAATTTTAATTATTGATTTTTACTTTCTTTTTAAATTTTGTATTATATACAGTTAAATTTTAGAATGTCCGAGTTTGTAATTTTGTATTTGATTTTATTTTTAAAATGCTATTTTATGTATTTTATTCCTTAGTCCTAACAGAGGAAGACATGAATAGGATGAAAACATTTTTTTTTATTATATTAAAATACTGCTGGAAATCAAAAGACTTGTTTCATTATATAAAATTACATTTATACAGTGGAACCTCGCTTAACAAGCATAATTCATTCCAGAACCTTACTCATAATGCGAAACAATTTTCCCCATAGGAAATACTCAAATACCGATTTACTTGCGTATAAGATGAGGTTTTTTATTCATTTTTCACTGCTTCAAAAACTAGTTCATTCTATATGCACGAGTGAAGGATCCTTTGTGTTTTTGCAATAATTTTTGTGAACTGTGTATAGTTCATGCTGCCATTATAGCAGAGTGCTAGCAAGGTCAAGGTGAATGTTGCTTTTAAAGAGAGGATCCGAAAATACTGGTCACTTAGCAATGATTATAAAATAACCAAACACCTTAGTATTTCCAGCAACAAAGTATTTAATAAATACTAAGGTGTTTGGTTATATTAAGTATTTATATTCCAATAGGTTATTTTGTTTTAATGATTATAAATGTAGTTATTTGATATTTGTTAAATTGGTAATTTTAATATTTGTGAATTCTAAATCATTAAAAATAAACTTTTTCCTGTCATGTGCATTAGAATCTTTTAGTTTTGCTACATGGGTATCAGGTGTGTGAAAAAGCAATCTTCAAAAGCTGATAGCAGTCATTCAGGAAATACTGCATTTTAAATTCACTCGATGGATCAGAGGACTATGCTTTGTGGAGTAAGAGTGAAAAAGAGAAGAATTTTAATGAAGCTTTGGAGGGTGAGTCCGAGTAGACAAAAGGTGATAGCATCAAGAAAACATGGTTGTTTGTCTTAATACATGCATTTGTTGATAATTTATTTGTGTTTAAACAAAATAAAATTAGAATTGTATTAATAAATATAATTTTCTTTATTTTGATCTTTAAAGTCACACCTCGTCCTATATGCAAGATCGTCTTATATGCGAGTAAATACGTCTTTTACATATAATTTTAAGTTTATTCAAAGAAAATTTATACAATATATATTGTTAAGGAGCATGAATCATCATCATCATCTTTTCTTTTAGCATGGAATGAACCAACCAGGAATATGAATTTGATTTGCAGAAAACAAAAAAAATCACAGATAATAGCATGATGGAGTATGCGCACAGTCTGGGACTTCCCTCTCCTCGTCACTCATTATGCGAAACTTTGCTCGTTAACCTTTCAACAGTGGGATAGTCAGATATGGTGCTATCCCAAAGTAGTGGAGAATAAATGTGGGAAATTTTTAAAGTAATTTTTCATGCATTTTTTCTCATTACCGTTACGGAAAAAGATTTTGTAAACACTTATGTCTAGTAAAGAGAAGTCTTTTTTTATTGTTACATAATTCATTTTTTATGTGGATTTTTTTTGGATAGTTTTTGGCAATACCCCCAAAAGAATTTAATGAATATATCCATCCTTCAGCACTGCCACACGATTGCCCTGGATGGATATGTCCGCCCCTCACTGTTGAGTGGTTAAGTGAATCATTTTTAAAAAATTTGATTTTATCGTTATGCGAGGTGCTCATTAAGCAAGGGTCCACTGTATATCTAAAAAAATTTTTATGAAAAACATAATTTAGTAATTTAAAAATATTGCTATTCTAGTCTTTAGCATACTTAGTTGTTTGGGAATTCTGGTCCTGTATATGGATATAAATTTGTTTCATTTCTCTTTAAAATCTTTTGCTTAAAAAAATGCTCACATTGAAATTTAGTAATCACAATGTTTGAAAATATCATTTTGTATTTTGTACATAAATGTTGAAGCTTTTGTTGCCAATCTGATGATTAGATAAACCTAGTCTCGAAATACCTATTTTATTAAATTTCCAGATCCTTGAACTTTTAACTTATCATTTCTTCTTGCTTGAATAATACAGAATTGAATGCGACAAAAGAGTTAATTATATATAATATAATTAGCTAATTTTCTAATCCAAGGATAATATTAGATAAATTATCATAAATATAAAATTAAAATAATATGTATCTTCAAAGAAAAATGTAGCATTTTCAAATTAATATTACCTAGGATAATTATCTCTGTAAACAAGAGTGGGAACAAATAAAAAGTAAATGAGATTCCTTATTTCTGGGTATGGTTTCTGTATATCATCTAAATGAAAATGTAGAAAAAGAAATGTTAAAATTTGTATAATAATCAGTTAAAGCACTATTTTTCTTTCTTACCTTCATGTGGTTTAAAATTGATACCACGTGGAACATTCTCTCTCACAAATGCATGAACTTTCAGCATTAATCGTACCTAAGAATAATAATATACAAATTATTTACATCATAATCAAATATAGTTTAAATATCCATTTTTATTTTTTGTTCATTTTCATGATGTAACTTATATTTTGTAAATTTGCATCAGCATCATAAAATCTAGTTAAACTAATTAAAAATAAAATTATGCTCAAATAATACTTTCAAATTTAAGTACTTTTATTTTTCATTCAACTGTCATTTGGAATCAGTCTCAGAAGTTTTTGAAATACATTGCTGAATATGATGTTTTTCGTAAAGTGTGTGATGCAGATTTTCATATTTCGTGAAGTACCTTATATGTTATCCATTGTGTATTCCAAAGAAAGAAATTCATTGGCTTTACATCCAAAAATATTGGAGAAAATACAATTAGTCCATCTCTCTTGATCAATTTCCCAGAATAGTTCTTTTCAAAAATTGACAAACACATACGGTAAATCTCAATATGTAAATGCTCAGAGCATATCTTACTGAAATATGGCCTACAAATTCTGTTCTAAAATTTTCAGAATTGTATTAAATACCTATATATCATGGTAAGTAGCATTCATGAAATTAATACTGTGATGATGTCTTCCACAAGAAAAAAGAACTAATAACTCCACAATGTGTTATGGCATACCACATTTCCGTAGACATTTGTTCTTTCATATTTCATGACAATAAGGTAACTTTTTGAACTCCAAATATAACAGCTACTCTTGTTCAAAAACAAATAATATATTGTTGAAAAATATGCTGTGTTGTATAATTGTTGCCTTCATCTATTTCCTAAGCAATATAAGAGGCAAGAACAGGCTTGGTAATCTTCTGGTAGATGTTTTAATAATGGTTGTTAACTTTAGATTTTTTACAAAGAATTTTATACATTTGTACAAATTTTTCATGAAAGTTCTTCATGAAAAGTTAGAAATAAATATTTTGTTAAATGAATGCATACACATTCTTAACCTCATTCTTTCAAAAGTGTTGTATCCAGTGGCGTGCCATCATTGGAAGCGGTGGATGCGCCGCATCCCTTGTATTTTCTAAAAAATAAATACATATTCATTTTAATTATATGAAAATAATTGCACAATATTTTACTATAACTGCATTATGTATCTTATTACAAATTTCTATACTACACGTGAAAAAAAAAATAAGATTGCTATTGTATATTAGTGGTGGAGTGGATGTGCTGTATTGTCAGCATCCAAAAAGCCAGATTCTCGCATGCGCTTTACAGAGCACAAACCTCACCTGATTTAGCTGGTGAAGGCCTAGGACCTTGGGTGAATGCTACACATATACTGTATCCAATTCTATCCAAGACCGGTTCTGGGCTGTTAGCCGCCTGCCCTCTAGATATTTGGCAGCCCTCACCCAATTACGTGAATCACGAGTAGATTTATAACTTAACCCAACCGATAAGAATTTACTGGTACGTTTTTACGATAGTTCTGTATAGTTGACAGGAGTTTTAAAAAAATCCATTAAAATATTTGATATTTTTATTCCGCTCTCCGATTTTATATTACTCACGGAATTTCAATGTTAAACCAGTGATATTACGATTTTGTATATCCCATCTTTAAGGGGATGTAAAAAAAATGTGTAAAATTCTTGTACAATGTTAAAAAATTAACTGTTACTTTGGTAGCATCATTTACAACTAAATTTAATGAATGAGAGAGATGCACGAGGAGCAGAAAAAGCTCTAGAATTTATTTTCCTTAAATTTACGATTTACCATAAGTATCTGTTGTCATAAAAATTTGTCTTTCCACTTATTTCTACTTAAGTAGTAGTTAAATAATTAAGCGATTAGGGAATTGGGGACATAAACAAAACCCTGACGAAAGAGCCAAAATTTTACTTAAACAAAAGCTTAACCAAACCATCTCTAGCCGAGTACAGTAGAGACTGATTTCTTCGTATTATCAATGTAATAAAGACAGAAATTTTTCCAGTTCAATGAGAGTGACCAAAAAGTTGTAATTTTGGAAATTTCTGAGGACACTTAATCCTAAAGCGAATTAGTTAGAAAACAAAGGACTATTAAGTTTAACATATTTAGATTTTTACAGCTATGATGAGAAACATTTAAAAACTACAACAGCCCTTTGAGATATACTAGTGATGCGACAAAAGAGGTATTTGACATTGACCGGCACCGGCACCCTGGGGATTTGGCAGTCCGTGTGTATGCATGCTCTGCAACCGTCTTTGATTTCATCCATTAGCCACTTGTAGGGAGCTATTTGACTAAGTGCATTGTTTTAAGATTTAAAAAGTAAAGAATATTTTGTTATTTTTATGTACGTTTCTTTACAAAGCTATATTTAATTATAATTATCTTTAAAAGAATATTCATACAATTCAAGAATATTTTGTACCAGGTATGCACCGGTACATCCACCACACATTTTATTTCACTGAGTAAGTTTTTATTATTTTATTTTTAATTGTAGCCCTTATATTGTGGTTAGCGATTCGGAATGTAATTGTGATATTAAAAATGCATTTAGAGAAGTCTACGGTTTTTACTGGCTTATTGAATAAATGATATGAATAAACCCTAGACCATCACTGATGCGCAGTTGACTGATTGCCCCTGGATGTTGGCTTCTTACAGGCCAACATCCAGGTGCAATGACCACTGCTTCCCTATCATCAAATGTCACGGCACGCCACTGGTTGTATCTAATACTGCCCTGTGAGATTTGTCCAAGCATATTACCTTCTGGGGTGGTTATATAAAGATTTTATTTCTGTTCTAGAAATATTTTGTGAGATATAAATTATTCCTGATTATATTCAGGAAATTATGATACATTATTTCCTTTTTTAAGTAGTATATAAATTATTTTTCCTTGATTAAATATCATATAAATTTAAAAAACTACACCTACCTGTTCAAATATGATGATAGATGAGGATATTTGAGGAATATTATATAATGTAACCACTAATGCAGGTATAAAAAGTAGCATCATTTGGTAAAGAATATAAAAAGCTCCAAACAGTAAGTCAAAGCATCCTGAAACATGTAATAAACATTTTATTATAATAGTACAACAGTAATTACAAATTTGCACATTAGTTTAGATACACAGAAATTACTTTCATAGAAGTTTCAGCACAGAAATTACTTTATCTTCTGTATACATTGCTGTACAGCTCTCAGAGCAGCAATGTATTTAGAAAATGCAAATGTTTTAGATATATTTCTATGCATATAAAAGGGTGCTCTTATATCTGAGTGTAAGAGCATATTTTTATAGATAAGGAAAATTGGCACTATATTTCACAAAGTATCAATACTTAGAAAACCTCACAACTTAAAAAACTTTAATATTGATTGTATCAGAAGCATGTTTTGTTTTGGCTTTTTATTTTTAATAGTGATGACCACAAAGATGCTCTAAATATAGTAGTTGCTGTAGCAGCATATTTACATTTAATTTGCACTGACACAACAGAGCAATGCTCTTATAAGACAAAACAATCTGGCACACATAAGAGCATGCTCTCACATGCGAAGCATAATACATGTTTCAAAAACATGAAAACAAATGATTTTCACATATAACAGCATGCACTTACATATATCCTATGGGTATAAATTAAACTGATATAATGGTACACCATTGAAGATTGCCACCAAATCTGATATACACACTGAATAATCACTGGATTAGGAACACAATCCAATGCTATCTTGGAAGTGGTAAGGCTGCATTTCTTTACGCAGCGAGAGTAAAAATGACGTCACGAGCAGCTATCGCTACACGTTGCTGCATCATAGTTTAGAAACACTTTCCACTCGAGTGAAACATGGACACCATAATCTATCCTTTAATTCCAGTTACAGCCGAAAGTAGTTCTTTAGTTAAAAAACTACAATATTTAAATAAAGAGATATAAAGAATTGAGCATTTATCTTTCCATAAATGTGAACAAAGTAAAGAGATAGAAGATATATAATTATATTTAAAATATAGTATTTTCTTATTCTTTAGATAACTTTCAGAGTATAAAATTTAATCCTTCTTAATCTTTCCATAATATTTTTATCAACATTCACTTTGACTTTTTTATTTTTACAGCATAATATCATATTATACACACAAGCATCCATTTTGCTTTACACATGTAGCAGACATAAAAACTGCTTTATCTTCACTGCAGTGACCTCTTGCAGCAAATGTTTAGAAACGGTTTGCTACATTGCAGCATTGCATTTAGAAATGGGTTTCAGAGTGTTTGCTGTAAAGCGCTTCTTGAGCACTGCATAAAGAAACATGGCCTAAAGAGATGGTCTATAATTGTTATTCACAATTTGCTATTGTCATGACATATTGACTTGTCATTTGCATAGTAAAAGGCAATACTTGTCAGTCATGGGCAAATGGGGTGATTTGAATGACTTGAGCATAGACAGCATTGAGATTCAGAGGGTGGGTGCTAGTATTTCCAAAACAGCTGCACTTGTTAGTTTTCTTGTATCATAGTGTTCAGGGTGTATCATGGGTGGAAGGACCATGAATTTTACAAACATCCACCAGAAGTTGATACAAATGAGTGATCCCAGAGGTGAGTGTCATGTGTGAAGACTGGTATTTACATCCGAACAAACACTTCATAGTGGAACAGCTTACTTGCCAATACAACAGTGGACAAGGCAAACCTATTTCAACAAAAATTACCAAGTGATGTACTGTGTGTCAACTGGGGTTTAATAGCAATCAACCTACAAGGGGTGCCTATATTAATTGCCCATATGTCATTGCAAACAATGCCTTGCATGGGTGAAGAAAAGACTTCATTGGACCTTGGAGTGTGAAAGAAAGCCATCTGGACTGACAAGTCCCATTTCCTGCTGAATTACACTGATGGCTGGTTCTGAATCTGTGTAAACATGATAAAGCCTCATGTCCTGGTTGCACAGTTGAGGTTCCAAAAGCTGGTGGTAGCAGTATCACAATCTGGAAAGTGTTCTCTTGGCAAGGCCTGGGCTATCGATCACACAGGTCTGCAAGTAAAAAACTGCATAGGATTTTTATACATTTTCTTATAGATTTCAACTTGGTAAAAACGAAAAAAAATACTAAAAAAATTCCATCTCATCAATTTTTTTTTGTTACACTCAATTTTTTGTTTCTATTTAGCGTAAAATTCCTAGTTAACTTAAAATTTAGTATTCTTTTTTTTTATTTAAAAAAATGGCCTTAAAACGAAGAGTTCTCATGTTAATTCTATCAATTATAGCTGAACTTGACAATAAATAAATAAAAAATGTTAATGGTTGAAGAGAGTAGTGATAGGGGGAGATGGGTTAAGTAGTTTTAGCATTAGGAGGAAAGTCGCACGATCATGTAGAAACAGGTTAAAAGTTGACAGTGGTAATATTACTGGTGAGGTTGAGCATGTTTCGATATGTTATCTGGGATACTAGGAATAAATATAAACAACCTGCTGTTGGATTAAATCATGTTTCAACAAGCTAAATAAGTTCAGTATCTCGCTGGCTATCTAATGCTACACTCAGTTTATATCCAGCATTCGAATGCTACTGTGCTTGTAATTTTATTTCTGGAATATGGCTCACAGAGGTTGTGTAATTTCTCCTGACAGCTTCTGTTATGTTTGTGGTGAATATACAGTACAGAACATCCCCTTTATCTGATCCCCTCTTTTTGGAAACAATGGGAGGAAAGGAAAAATAAGCATGGGACTCTTTCAAGAATGTAGTGCATAAGTTTTTTAGGAATACTAAGGACCCTGACTACAAAACCATTGTATAACACATGCTGGCAGCGTATGAAACTCAAGGATGCAAGATGAGCTTAAAAGTTCATTTCTTACACTCCCATATTGACTATTTTCCTGAAAACTTGGGAGCTTACAGTGAAGAACAGGGTGAAAGAGTTCACCAGGATGTCCATGATATAGAGAGATGTTACTAAGGAAAATGGGATGTCAATATGTTAGTTGACTACTATTGGATGCTCAATCGAGAAACCAGAGAAGGAAATCGGAAATGAGTTCGGAGAAGCATCAAAGAGAAGAAGAAAAGGTGTCATAAGAAAAAAGAGTAGACCTAAAATTGTGTATAAATATCAGAAACAATTTTTTGATTAGTTGTAAGAAAATATAATATATTTAGTTCATTATAATAAATAAGAGTTTTTATCAAATATTTGTTTTATTTTGCAAAAAACCTTTATGTTATGGGATGTTACAGAAGTCATTTTTAGAATCTCTGTGATCTTTAAAATATATAATTCAGCAAAAATATCCCATGCAGCTGGAAAAAAATTTTTTTGCAGACCTGTGTCATCATTCTACAATCCTTGAATGGTAAAAAATGTAGGAATTTGCACCCATATCTCTAGGCTATGTTTCCTAACAATGATGCCACGTTTCAACACGATGATGCACTATGTCAACATGCGAGGCTAAGTTGGGAATGGTTGGAGGAACATGACAATGAATTCCTCACACTGTCTTGGCCCCTGAACTCACCAGACCACAATTCTATTGAATGTTATTTACAGATTTTTTAAAAATTGAAAAATATAACTTTTTCACATTTTAATTTCTTAAAAAATTTCAACAAACAAAAAATGTTTATGTTGAATGTTCATGATGAATAGTTCCACAACTGATGAAATCACTTCTCACAACAGACCCTTTTCTGCAGGCTTTTGTTGGAGCCAGAGCTTTATCTTCTCTCTGTAGTCAATCTCTGTCAGAATTTTTACAATTTTTAAGAAATTTATAAATAATTATAATGTAAATTGATTGGGACACTTCCAACAAAGATAGACTACAGGGAGAAGATAAAGTTCTGGCTCCAACAGTAGCCTACAGAGAAGGGTCTTTTGTGAGAAGTGACTCTGTCAATTGTGGAACTTTTCATCATTGAGTGATCATTTTTTATTGTTTCTTGAAATTTTTAAAGAAATTCTGTTGATCATGTTTGGGATATGCTAAAATGTGTCATGGGTTGTCATCCACTCCTATTCTGCAAATATAAAAAATAATGAATAATATCTTTACATTGTCCCATGCAACATCTTCATATGTTGACCAAAACTACACTCCTTGTTTTCAAGACCAAGTTAGCCCTGAGAGCAACCAGCATCACTTGTGACAGTGCTGACCCGACATTGAATCACAGAGTTTGAACACAGGAACTTTAAAGAAATAGAGAACTTGATTCTAGATGTCCAAGAACATGCCATATTAAAAAATGCAATCAAACCAAAAATTGAAAAATCAACAACAGATTCAAAATGAGTTAAACAAAGAACCAGAAAAACTGTGAACCATATTCTTAGCTCTTATGCAATGATTGCACAAACTGACAATATATCATAATACAGTTGCTAAAATGATCCCCTGGAACATCTGCCAAAACTATCTTGTGCTGATTACAAAAACTGGTGGGATCATGACAATGAAAAAGTCTTTACAATCTCTGAAGTTAATATCCTGTGAGATTTCAGAATACAAACAGATAAAACCCTACACAGATTTAACTGTGGTAGAGAAAAAGAAAATGTGGATCATAGACATTGTCATACCAGACTCTCAAGTTGAAGAAAAAAAAATGAGTAAAGATAACAAAATATTAAGATCTAAAGATTGAAATTGGAAGGTTATGACACAATCTAGCAGTTGTAGTACCTATGGTCATAGGCACACTGGGTGCTGTTCTAAAACATCTATGCAGGCACTCAGGTCTGAAAACTGGAAAAAATCACCATTAGCCAACTATAATAAACTGTGCTACTTGGGTCTGCATATATTCTATGCCATACATTACTACACATCATGCTAGTATTGTAACATATACAGCATGATGCTGGATGACTATTAGCATCCAGCATCATGCATTCAGCATTATTAGCCTAAATAAAATACTTTCCTTACTGGAACCACACAATAAATAAAAATCAACACCTTTAAACATCCAGCAAATCGTTTTTTAATATTTTAAAAACGCTTTCGAACGCTTTAAGCGATCATCATCAGTTAACATTTGTGAATCGAACGAAGAATTTCTTCGTTCGATTCACAAATGTTAACTGATGGTGATCGCTTAAAGCGTTCGAAAGCGTTTTTAAAATATTAAAAAACGATTTGCTGGATGTTTAAAGGTGTTGATTTTTATTTATTAGCCTAATATAACTAGCATTAGTATTTGACTACACAAATATAGTCAGATGTTACATCCTGTAAAATAGTTTCCAAATAAAATCATAATTGCTGCTGAATGTTCTTTGATAAATAAAATACAAGCATGTCTGGAAAATTTTGAATTATAAGAAACTTTAATTAAATGTTAAAACTAAATGAAAGTAATCATTGTACAGTTCAATTTACATAAAATAACATACATCACAGATTATCTATTAATTGATAATCATAAAATATAACATTGTAATAAATAAAATGTTATTTTATGTGATAAAAAATATTTATTATATTATTATAAATATATGATATATTTAATGAAATAAAATTTGTAAATTGATTTTATTATTACAAAAATCATTACTTAATAAAACATATTCATACCTATATGTTTGCTTGGATATCGAGTAGAAGACCAGACTCTTAAACAAGGATAAATAATTCCAATGATACTTAAATTCATACTTAGCCATACTATCACAACAATAGAAAAGTAACCAAGACCCCAGGATAATATTTCTAAATCTTCAATTAACCTTAAAAGAATTATTAAAATTTCGTATGTAATTTATTGTAAATTAAATTCAAAAGTAATTCTAAAAATTCTAAATATTTAGATTTTAGAAACTACTTAATTAACTTGAATATTTATACTGTGAATTATTTAAAACTTAAATAATAAAGTTAGTATAATTTCATGTTAACTTACTTCTCTGGATCACATGCATAAAGTAATGCAGTTTTGAAAATAAGTAAAAATAATGATGCTGCACATATGTTATAGATAGACTGAAGATGAGTTACTTTAAATAAGTCTCTGAAAAAATAATAAAAAATATTCCACTAAAATGTAATTAATAAAAAATTTATACAAAATTATAAAGATGTATTTATTATTGTAAATTGTATTAAAATTATTATACAGTAGAGTCCCGAAAACTTGGCACTCGATAATCCGGCAGTCCGGATAACTCGGCCACACCCTGGCAGGACAAAAAATCCCCTAGTTAATTTTCATTATAGACAGCTTTATGCCTCAAAGTATTTTTCTGAGGTCTGTCTTATCAGGTAAATTACTGTACACTGTGTGTTCATTAATTTTCATTTTCATGTAGTAAAGGCTCTATGCCTTCATAAAGGANTGTATACAGCATTGTATTATATACAATGCTGTATACACATTACATATGCATTGTATGGTGAAAATTGCTTGTTTAGATGTTTTCTAGCACCCCTTAAATTTTTGCCCATGAGTTTCGAAACACTCTGTATATTAAGTTCTAGATGGGAAGATATTACTGCCTTAACTTCTGCCTATGAGGATTTATCTCAAAAAATTGTATTGTTTCTTTTTTCATGTTTTAAGTCATAATTATATTTCTGTATATTGTAAAATTTGTTATATTATAATTTGTATACTAATAATAATGTTCATACTAACATATTTCCCTCTTGTAATGGATGATAATGTTTAATACAATACATAAATAAAATAAAAAATAATATGGAATGAATAAAATGATTCATTATAATCAGTTATTGACCAAAGCTGGATTCATACACACAAAGAAAATTATATTATATACTTAATATTAAACCAAACAATTCATGGATTAAAATGATTCCACAAAGTCCATTTTCGGATTACCTCTTTAACAGTGTCAATTAATTAGCTGCATCAGGATAAACCTGACGAATAATTATAAATTTAACACAATAATATACAGTAAAACTTATCTAACTCAAAGCTCCAAAAAACTTTAGGAAAAACTTCAAGTTACAGACGATTTGAGTTAGAGAATAGATTAAAAAATGCTGATTCTGAATAATTTGTATTTTTACCACTCTTGCATTATATAAAGAATCTTTGATAGTTTTTTGTTTTAAATATCCCATGTAATGCTTTTCAGCAAAATGTTCAATGTAACTAATAAAATTGAACAGTTTTGGAAGTACATCTTATTGAGATAAAACAAGATGTCTACTTGTTTTGGATTGGAATGTTGCAAACAGGTTTCGAACAGTAGATACAACTAACTGTCTGAAAATTTCAAGAAAATCTAATAATTAGCATAACTTTGGATAGAATAAATATTAAGATTCATGTCAGGAAACCATAAAATCTTTGACTTGGAGAAAATTAAAATCTAATAATTATAATATCAAGTATAATTGGACACTCTCATTAAAAAAACATAGTGGATAATTCTGGTCTTAGTTTTCTCTGGACATTACAGGAACCAAATATGATAAAAAGATAATTATAAAATCTCATTGTGAACAAAGTATAGAGGGTATACATCAACCAAAGCCAAATATGATCAGGATAGAAACAGCTACAATACTAATAATTTAATATACAATTTGGCATTAGAGTTAGGTGCCATCTCTTGATAAATTTAATAATTATAAATTAAATAATTTAAATAATAATTTTAGAATTACTGGAAGAAAAGAATTGGCCTGAAGCAGGACTCAGTAATTGCCTATTAAATTATTAGTATTATTAGCTCTTTCTAGCCTGATAATATTTGGCTTTGGTTGGTATATAGCATTAAACATATCGGGTGTAGTAAGAATGTTTATTTGTATACAGAGGGATTGGGCTGAGGCACAACAGAATGTTCATTGTAAATTATATTGTTCTTTTAAGTCTCATTTTTACACAGAATGATATCTTAACACAAATAGTAATTATTTTGTCAAATGTACTGTACTTTAATACAATTACGATTTAATCATAGTTCTATAGTATTATTTAATACGAAAATCAGTATTAATCCTAACGAAAAATTTCCATATTGTACAGTACTTCAGATCAAAATGAGACTTGGAAACATCTTTTTGTTTTGTAACAGATATAATGATTGTAGAGAAAAACATTATATACAGCATTGTATATAATACAATATATGTTATATTGTATATAATACAATATAAACGTTATATACAGCATTGTATATAATACAATGCTGTATATAACGTTTTTCTCTACAATCATATATCTGTTACAATCATATACAGTAGAGCCTCGAAAACTCGGCCTAATGTGGACTGAAGGGTGGCGAGTTTGTGAAAATGCCGGGTTATCGGGAATGGGGTTAAAAAAATAAGTATGAGCGAAACGCTCATACTTATTTTTTTGCTCATACTGTTTCCTCAGAAAATACTGTATTGTACTTGTATGTATTGTTTGCTTGAAAATACAACAGAGAATAAACTGTTCAAATACCCTTAAACAAAGGAAAAGTACATACTTTATGAAGGCATAGAGCCTTTACTAATGAATACATAGTGTACAGTAATTTACCTGATAAGACAGACCTCAGAAAAATACTTTATGAGGCATAAAGCTGTCTATGATGAAAATTAATTACCTAAGGTTATTTTTGCCCTGCCAGCATGTGGCCGAGTTATCCGGAGTGCCGAGTTTTCAAGGCTCTACTGTATCTGTAATATAATGTATATATACTCTCTACAATCATGTAATATAATGCATATATAATGTGTATACAGCATTGTATTATATACAATGCTGTATACACATTACATATGCATTGTATGGTGAAAATTGCTTGTTTAGATGTTTTCTAGCACCCCTTAAATTTTTGCCCATGAGTTTCGAAACACTCTGTATATTAAGTTCTAGATGGGAAGATATTACTGCCTTAACTTCTGCCTATGAGGATTTATCTCAAAAAATTGTATTGTTTCTTTTTTCATGTTTTAAGTCATAATTATATTTCTGTATATTGTAAAATTTGTTATATTATAATTTGTATACTAATAATAATGTTCATACTAACATATTTCCCTCTTGTAATGGATGATAATGTTTAATACAATACATAAATAAAATAAAAAATAATATGGAATGAATAAAATGATTCATTATAATCAGTTATTGACCAAAGCTGGATTCATACACACAAAGAAAATTATATTATATACTTAATATTAAACCAAACAATTCATGGATTAAAATGATTCCACAAAGTCCATTTTCGGATTACCTCTTTAACAGTGTCAATTAATTAGCCGCATCAGGATAAACCTGACGCACTTGAGAAATAAAATTTTTAAACGCATCTCTTTGAAATTGTTGACGCCATAAAAATTCTGCTAGAGAATTATTTAGCATGGCACGACGATTACCAAAGCAACGTTTATTCTTTTCCTTGGCCTTCTGCCAAATACATTTCTCACGATTTGTGGTGGCATGAGTGACAGGGTCGACAAAGTTCACCGAATGATTTACAGTAAGATGTTGGTACTCTTTGTTTCCAGAGATATTATATTTGGCCCACAAATCAGAAACTGCAGTTGTTCCAGGTAGAACAAACTTCTGTAGGATGGGCAGCAACGTGGAGGCATTTCGGTGATCTACTGCGACCATGAAACTTTCCTTGGTACGCACATCATATCCTCCAAAAACCCACTGTTCTCTGACGAGACGACTCCGACGAACAAAACAACTTTCTTCAATCTCAACAGTGTGGCCGGACCCTCCAATGACAATTGGATTTAGAAGAAACCATTCGTGGCATATATCACGACAGAACTGTTTCCAATCCAGAATTGTGTGGGCAGAAGCAATCTGAAGTTCTCTCATGAGAAAGTCCTGTTTGTCGAGCTGAAAGGCCCACAGATATGCTAATTGAAGAATTTTTGATACTGGCAAATGGCTGTTTTCGAAAAATGAATCCTTGCGAATAGAAATCTTTTTTCGACAAGCCCTACCTGCTGAACATCGCCAAACTAAGCCGTCTGTTCTGTCCGTCTCTTCTAATCTCATTGCATTTACTCCCACACAACGTCCGTTTTCGCAAATGCGTTGTTTTTTTAGCAGACCATTGTCCATCGCCCACCGAATGCTTTCTTGTTTATTCTGTGTCACTAGAAATAGATCTTGCAGACGAAATTCACTCAGATCCGGGAACACTCGATCAGGAACAGCCATGCTTTCACAGACACACAAGTAGTGTTGCCAGATGTTTTTAGCTTTTGTAACCAAAAATTTTCTAAAAAATAGCTGGAAAATAGCCGACTCAAAAAATTCGTTTTTTTTTTCAAATTTAAAATTTGATAATAAAATTAAAAAAAAACAACACAATTCGTACATTCCCAGCAATAACATTAATCACAGAACAAACATTTTCGGCCAATTTACAGGCCCGAAGCAGGTCTGTAAACTGATCCGAAAATAAGGATGGGAAGACTCAAACCTTTCAAACAGCCGTAACCACTCAAACTACAAAGACGGCCGGACGTGGCAGTGTACCACTGTGTGGACACGGGATCGAGTCCGGACGGGTCGAGAAATCCCCCGGAATTTTTCGGGGGGTGGCCCGTTCAGATATGTACGGCCCCCGCCCCCACCACCCGGCCGCCCCGCTGTGGGCCTGGCCGAACCCATAATGGGTCTGCTAAAAGAGGCCCTCCTAGCGCCCATAGGGCGAAAAGAGTTTTAAAAACAACCCAAACTGCATAAGCGCCCACCTTTCATTGTTTCTAATGAGGAAAACTGATTTGGGCTTCGAACAATTCTGGATACCTTTTCTGGCTACGAACTATCCCAAACTGTCGAATAAAGACTGGCTTAAAACAGAAATGTGGAGGAGGACGGGTTTTAAAAAGCCGAATCTCTTTCTTTTTTTTTTTTTTTTTTTTTTTGTCTGTTAGAAACACTAATCTGCTTAAGTTGTCAACCATTACTTATCGTCCTACATATTAATATAATTAAATTTCTGTCATATTGTTGGAATTAAGCTTAAGTTACCAAGAAATCATAAACTTTATTCATTCATTCAAAAGAACCGTAGTACAACAGTAACGAAAAGGAAACTTAAAATAATTGCCACAACAGCTTTTTATTGTGATAAAAGTTCAAAGATCGTGTTACGAAGATTTGCCGGCACTTTAAAGTGTGAGAAAATATTCGGTATTCTGGCATTTATGACGTAATTTATGATCTTAACAGTGTCATGGTGGCTTAGGTGTAACTTTTTATAAATCATTTATTGAAAAAATGCAAACATGTTCGAAAAGTAACTACTCGATAACTCGTTACACCTACTCGATAACTAACTCGATAAAGCAAATAAATCCCTATATCGAGTTTTGTTAATCGCTTAGATCATAAATGATATTGTACATGCAAGAATATCGAAGTGGGTAGCAAATCGCCTTCGTAACTGGACATTCGAACTCTGCCTAAACCTAAGGTTCACCCTTCCGTTCATGACAAGTTTTATTTTTCTTTGTCATTCTTCTGCCCACGTCGTTTTTTGATGAATTAATAATTAATCAATGTCCGAGTATTTACGTTTCGTCGTAATTTTTGTGTGTCATTTAGAGTGACTTGTCCAATCCGTTTGCTATTTAGAATTCAATTAAAATTATATTTTTACAGCTGAAAAGATAAAAAATATACTGTATATTTACCTGATATTTTAATTATACTGTATATGCTACGTATACTGTTTGTGATAGAACAATAAATATTTTAATATTTTTGTCACTACTGTCGTCGTCCTTTGTGTGTTTGCTTGCCCTAATACGCCCGTTTAAACTTTGTCTATGAATATATTTTAAACCACACTCGCTGCGTCCCATTTTATTTAACGTTTAACGAGTTCCTCAACGTTTACAGTATCATAAACAATGATAAAACCGATAGGTTTACTTTTAGGATCGGGCGAAAAAGCTGACGTGGAATTTGTTCTACAGGGCGGAAAAATTGACATTAATGTCACTGATGATTCAAATCACTGGGGAGGGAGAAGATTAAATGAAGGCCAGGATTATATTTTAAGCAGGAAAAAGAAACAGGATTTTTCAATCTAGTTTCTTTTTACTACGAACAATTGTCAAGCTTATGTAGTGTTATCTACAGGAAGTACAGTAAGACCCCGTTTAACGCTGCTTTGATTAACGCTGATTCGATATAACGCGGTCTACTCGAAGCCTTAAAAAAGCTCAAAATTTACACTGATTCAAATTATCGCGGCATTTCATTGATTCATATACAGTATAATACAATTATTCCCGAACAAGAACCAATCAGCAAAAGATGGCAATTCGTCGTAGCGCTGGACTTTCTTTGCATTATGTTTGTTTGGTGCAATTTTGGAAAAAATATAACATCTTGGATGCCATAGGCTATATTGACTTCGTTTGGCAAGAATTAACTGATAAATGGATGAACGAAGTGTGGAAGAAGTTATGGCTAAAGGTATCCAAGAATTCTCAACGAGAAGAGTCTATCGCTGTATCGTTAAGTTGACCAAATTGTCAACCTAATCGATACAGCAGGACTAGAAGATGTAGACGCGTAGGATATTGAAAAGTTATTGCAGATTTCTGGTGAGAGCCTTATCAACGACGACCTTCAAGAACTGGCAGAACAAGGAATTTTTGTAGAACTGGAAAATAGTGATTCGAAAAACAAAAAACCAAAAAAATTCCGGAAAAAATTCCCTAAGAAAAAGTTGGGAAAAAAAAACAAAAACAATGAACAAAATGGAACCAAAGAACCAAGGTTTGAAAAGAAGGCAAAAACAAAAACAAGCCGTTTGAAAGCCAAAGCCCTAACCAAAATTGCCTGACCAAAAAAAAAAAAAGTAACAAATGACACTACACGACTTCATCGCAAAAAAAAAATCAAGAATTTCAGAAGAGCCAGGACCTTCATCGCAAAAAATGAACTTGACATTTCTGTGTGCATATGTTTATGTGTTATTTAACTTATTTTTATATTAATTTGCATAATAATAGAACAAAATTAAAGTAAAATCTATTTATTTTTGGTCGCGTGTTCCCCTTTCCCAATTTACTCTGCGTTAAAATGACCTCGTTTAACGCTGTTTCATTTAGCGCTTTGTCGTCTTGGAAAGTATCTCCGGCGTTAAGCGGTGCCTTATGAACAACCACAGCTAATTATGAAATGATGACATATAAGATATAACATTAAAGGTATAAGAGAACATTTAAGATAAATGTTCCATGAGCACTATTAATAAAAATTTCAGTAACGCTATCAGCAAATGCTGGAAACCATAACATCTGATAAATAAGTAAACCATGGGAATTTGTAGTGTTACGGTCATCCACAACCAGATAAAAAAGTTGAAAATATGAAAGCTTTTGTATATATCCTTCAGCTGATTTTTAAGGTGACATAAAGAAGGCACTCATAACGTAAGTATTGTCAATTACTTTTTATTCCTTTCTTAAATCACAAGTTAATATTTATCCTTAAAAGTAGCAAATTAAATAATTTTTTTTATAACACTGATGGTAATTTTAATAATAATATAAGATAAATTAAGTTAAAATAGATTAATTAATTTACAATAAACTAATTGTACTAAATTAAAATGTTTAAACAATTTCTACACACTTTTTCAAATTATTCTCTTGATTTTCATTCTCCGATATAATTGATTTATGCGAATCCAAGACATCGTATAGTTGATCCATTGCTTGATCGATTTTATCTTCTACATCTCTCAAAATATCCACCTTCATTTTCTAAAATTGAATCCATATTTAATATTTCAACAAAGTTGAGTTATTTTTATTATATTTTTGTTAAAAATTAATAAGAAATTAACGATCAATCTGGCGGATTATAAAAAAATTAAATATAAGTTATCGTATAACAAAAGATATATTTTATAATTCTTAGTTTTATTGAGAGAAATAGAAGAATATCCGTGCATATCTTCTAAAATAGAGGTGACAGGAATGATATGTGTCAACACCTGAAACGATTACAAAGTCAAATCAAAGTTGTTCTTGAGCTAATCCAACCTATTCAGTAATCTAATAGAGTAAAACCTGTCTGAAATGAAATACGATAAACATGATACCGACTAGAATTTTCTAGTCGGTATCATGTTTATATTAATATTAATACAGAAAAAGCAAAAAGTAAAAAAAAAAAAAGTGTTACTAATGTTTAGAGTTCTCTTTCAACGTAAGTGTTCTCCACTTTCTCTTCTCCCATGTGTTGTATGCTTCATAAATATATTGAAGATATCAAAATGTGAATGTGGTGCATAGAAAAAAGTGTTAAAATGCAATTCACACGGAATATATTATATTTTGGAAAACCTTCTAGAACTTAATTTATTAACTATCGTCAAGTTACATTAATTAAGTTAGTTAATTTATATTATTAAATAAAAACTGGAAAATGTTTTTTAAATTAATTATTGTTATTACTCATTTTTCCTAGTTTTAAAGAATTTTGTGTTATGTGTATGGCGCAGAACAGGGTTAGACAACTATTAGCCCGTACGCCAAACGACTTTTTTCGGCTGTAAATAGCTATTGATTTGTATATTTTTCGTGTCTCGCAAAGAATTTAATCAGGTTTCTAAAGTGTGTATATTTGTGGATCTTGATTTTTCGAAAAGAGTCTCAATACTTAAAAGACGTGAGGCGCGAACTTCTCACTTATTATTTTATTCCCTTTCTCGCATAAAATATCTGTCAAATATTCTCTTTGTTTTAAAAAGTGCAAAAATGGAAAGAAAATATGTTGTTTAGGAATATATAATTCGAGTGAATCAAATGATAGAAAGAGACAAATAGTAAATAAGAAATCTCTACCTTCCATCTTGACACGTAAGAACAAAGATGAAAACTCTTTATTGCTTCAAATTGCGGAGTGAAACCTTTTAGGCCGAGACTCCACTACCGTAAAAACGGCGTAAAAACCCCTCGCCGTAAAAACTGTTAATCACGTGACCTATTTGCGTTTGTGTCTGGATTGCGATGGAGGTCCGGCTAGAAAACTTTTTACAGCGACGGTACTATCGAAGTTATAAAGACAATGATTATATTCTACAAGTTTTTTTTCTGTACTATAATTACAAATATAGTAAAAATAATATCTTTACTTTCATATATTAACTTTTATTATCGTATTATTAAGATAATATACAGCATTTATAAGCTTAGCTTTTTTATTATATACTCCTCTAAATTGAAGGATTTTCCTTTGACATCCATTATTATAATCGGGTTACCTCTTGTCGTAGATACACGAATACTTTCGGATGTTTTCGATAAATCTTACCAGATCTATTCTAGAGTAGCCACGAGGGAACGTACACAAAAGCTCGTTTTCCTCCATTTTAGCACTGTGTCGCAATGACCTAGATTTCACTGACTTCTGATTGGTGGAAGGTACTGCTTTACGGCCGTATTCGCGTCGAAAGCTGCTCAACTCGCTTTTACGCTGGTTTTACGACCTGCTCAGGCGTAAAATATCAGGGTCACGTGATTAAAAGCTTTTACGGCGAGGGGTTTTACGCCGTTTTTACGGTAGTGGAGTCTAGGCCTTAGTCACAGCTTAATTCTTCCAGAACGGAAAGCGAAAATACATCTTTCTGCTAATTACGGGCTATATCCCTGGGGAAATCGTAATTAAACACTTCAGGAAGTTATGGGCCGGAATCGGAGTGAACGATGTTCACCTCCTCCGACCCGAATTCGGACCCTAGCTACAAAATAGGGACCAATAGAAAGACCTTAGCCAATCAAATATCCGTTTCGGATCAGAAATTGTATAAAATGACGCCTCCCCAAGGACACATTGACTTTCTCATGGGTATGAAGTTATTTCCCATCAAAGAAATGGACTGTCTTTTTCCTCGGTGAATATCAACGGTCTTTCCAAAAGATTAAGGACTTTTTTCTCTTCTGTTAAAAGACTGCTTTCCACTCCCGAACGATTAGGTTAACCATCGAATCTCAGCGTCTTCTTCCTTCGTGAGAAGATCGTCTTTTTGTTCAGGATCGTCTGTCTTTTCTTCGAGAGATCAACGATTACGTCGGACCTACGTCTTGAGGTAGCCCAATAACTTCAAGATCGTCTCCACCTGCCCCAAGAATCACCTGATGCCCTCAAAGAAGGATCCCCGGTAACGTCCAGGTCGCCAGAGTAGGATAAAAAAATATTAGTCCCTGGATGAAAGCGCCCAGAGAAAGCGCTCTTACACACATTTCTCTCCGAGGGTGACATCGTCGTCATCGTTTAGACCAGTATTTTTCAACCTTTATCTCATTGCCGACCAGTAAAATCATGGATAATTTTATGTGGACCAAATAATTATGCCACTATGAATTACGCTTATTTATTAAGCTTATCTAGAGTTACTGTACGTAACAAGGTACTGTACGTACAGTAATTCTAGATTATTATTTAAATGACTACCGTAATCAAGTGTTCCAGCTTCAGTACGGTCAAATATTTTTGTGAGGATCGCGACATTTCGCGGAGATTGAACACCTCCGTTCTACACCATTCTCCGGAATTGTAAGCGATTCTGTTCTAAAAATAAACGCGATTATCGTTCTACAACGATGTAAGCCTTTGTGAATGTCACTCACCACCTCATAAGGCTCATCCTCTCGTGTCATCTTGATAAAACTCGCGAGAACGGGAGAATCCTAACCTTCGATCGGAAGTTAAGAGGACTTTACGGCAAAGCGTTGGGAAGTCTCACGAAGACACGAAATAATAAATACTCCAAAAATTCCAGTTGACACGTGAGAAAATTTTGCATTATAGATTCGGCGATTTGCACACGTAGTTAAAAAGCTTGTTCATCCGTAGCATAATACATAAAATATGTATTCTAATATTTATGTTACTGTAACTTATTCTGCAATTGTATGTAAGTTTTACTGTTAGTTATTATTGTTATTAAGAATATTTTTGTCGTCTAAATTAGTGTTCTGCAAGCTTTTTCTATTCGCGGCACACCCATGACTCGACATGTCTCAACACGGCACACCAAAATGTTATTCCCCTCAAAAGCGTATGATATGATACTATTAATAGAATTACGTAATGCCACTAACCTATTATTATTATTATTATACAGACATCAACACCCGTGAGCAAATTTATTTTACATTTAATTTCTTAAAATACATAAAAATGCGTGGCTTGTAATAAAGAATAAACGAACATCATCTTATTTCATAAGTGCTGCGGCACTTATGAGATAACACTTGAAATACAAGCATAAGAAGCACAGCAAATGTGATAAAAATATATAAATAAAGCTTGAAATTAATAAAATATGTAAAAGTTCACGTTACACCTTACACTCTGTGACGGCACACTGGTTGCGGAACACTGGTCTAAATAATTCGCGTTTTTCACCGGATGCTCGCCCTCTGGTGTTTAAAAACAGAAATACTCTATCTGGGTCATTCGAATGTTCTTCGTATATTGTCAACAGTAAAGATGAATAGTAAAAATAAAAGTAAAGCTTTCTGTTGTGTTCCAACTTCTAATTACAAAGCCATACGCGATCCCGATATAAGTTTTCATGTATTCCCATATGAAAAACAGATGATTTTTCGTAAATCAGAATTCGGAGAATCTCAGAAATGTAACCGACGGAAAGAGTGGATTCGACTGCTAAGAATTGGCAAAAAAGTTACGAAATATATGGTAGTACTGTATGTTCGAAATATTTTACTCCTGAAGATTATATTTTGTCATATATACTATCATGTTTTTATAAATATGTTCAGATTATTGTAATTCGATAGTATTAAAAAGTCAAACTGAAAAAGTTTGCATAGAGTCTAAGTATAAAGTAATTTAGTATTTGTATTCGTTTTTAATCTATACTTTAGGATTATTTTCAATAAAATGTAATTCTATTCAATTTTATATGATATGTCGATAAACTTTAAAATTCCAGTAATTTTGTGTGGGATAGAAGTCAATGCTGATGTTTGCAGACAAAGAGCACAAAAATGTACAGAACGATCTTGCTCGTTTTTCTCGATAATACCACATAAAATGACGTGTCCTGCTAGTAATACTTGTTCTCCTTCTATAAAATTTCTCGGTGAACTGCTACAAGTAGCATATTTCATTATATCAGATAGTAATATATAATTCATTTTACATTGACGACTAACAAACGACCCAGATAGAGTAGCCATTTTGTAAAAATACAGCGCCCTCTATAGTTCATGAAAAACGCGAATAGCATGTAAGCCAATTGAGCTTCCACCTGAAAATCTAGAAGAGAAACATTTCTAGAGCTCATCTTTCTGTCGGAGAGTAGGTTTAATATTTGATGAATAGAAAACGAGTTAAAATAAAGATTTTAGTTTCTGTTTGCTCTTGATTTTTAAGAACAATTCTATAAATAAGTAACTCTGCAGATAAAATTTTTGTAATCAAATTAGCCTAAATGCTGTACGTTCGATACAGATGAACAATCCACCAAGCGTCTCAGAATTTTGAGCCAAAACGTAAAAGATTACTTAATGATAGACAAAATATGAAAAAAAAATTTGATGTAGTAAATCAAAACAAAAGTCATTTGAAGACTAAGATCATTCACTTGATAAAAGATACTTCAACAAAAATAAAAAGATTTAGTGAAAACAGTAATAGGCCTAATATTACTGTCAACATAGATATAGTAAAATTAAAATTTCTGGAAACAGTAAAATTTACTCTCCAAAAATTTTTCTAATGTTAATATTTTGATTGGGAAGCGGAGAAAAAAAGCAAAATAAATTTTAAATGTTTTAGTTAATTACTCAAAAACTTTCTTTTGAAGACAGCTGTAATTTATTAGCATAATGTAGAATCTTTGGATGCATTACTATAACTTGTAAAACTGCGTTTCAATAAGAATAACTCGTTCACAGAAACAATCAATGCACCAGAGAATGGCAAATTTAAATAGAATTAAATTTGCCATCCACATTTAAAAAATACACCAATAATATTGGCATAATTGACATATTGGCATAATGCTAAGAAAATGTAATAATAAAAACAGCAGACAACAAACTATTTTGAAATTATTCTTGTTTCTTATTTTACACGAGTATTTTGTTTTTAAATGATTTTTATTGTGTTTATCAAATGTTTTTTTTATTAGTTTATAAGTTCGGCTAATTTTTTTTTCGTGTTTTTAGAATGATTTTGTGTTTATATTGTAATAAATTAATATATTTGTTTTTCATGAAATAAAAGTGTTTTAAAATATTTTACTGTAATAATTTTTAAAAATTTTGTAGACAAATAATATCGCTGTAGATATACAAAAGTTCTCCATCTGTTAGAGTCAAAAATACTCCAGAAAGTGCGTTAAAACATTAAAATTCACTTACAATTTTTCATAGTGTTTCCGGATCCCTAAACCAATCAGTGAGATCGCCCACAAATTTGCTAGAGCCGCCCTACTATATTGATCTGGCTACGCCCTCAGTCTTATGTAAAAACACTGTGCTTTATTGTTTTTAATCTGTGACCTATAGAATATAGATATCTAAATCATAGTAAGCATTTTGTGCTAGAATTCAGTATTTAGCCACCTGCTATCTTATCAAACGAGTCTTTCTAAAGTAAGATTGTGGGCATCGGAAGCAGCAGGTTATCGACCTCTCGTTTTGCTACAGAAATATTAACCCTCAGGGTTGGCACGCCTGGTTTCTTGACAAGGAGGAACCAGGAACATCTGTTGTCACTTTCCACGTGGCTAATTTTCTAACAGGAAAACTATTTTCACTTACTCCAAGTTTCACAAATTCCTATCTCTATTGAGCTCGACACTCTCTTACAAAGATGTGTTTAGAACTTCCGCATCAGTTCCAAAATCATTTCTTCCTGGACCGGTATGTCTTGGTCCTCTCCTTTTTTCATCTCTCTCTCTCTCAGCTCGAAACCCTGTATTTAAATTGAACAGCCTACCTATCAAATGTTAGGAAGTCTACCAAGATGAAGAGCTTTAGTTTTCTTTTGAATGTCAATTTTTTAAAAAAATTGACATTCAATATAAAAATACATAAGAATAGATAAGAATATATAAAAATATATAAAAAACCACACCATTGATATAATACATATCTATTACTTATATTAGCTTTAGTTTTGTTTACATTTCAGGAGGATTGAAAAAGACGAAACTGTCTGCTGACTAATTCACTTCTATATGCAATATATATGCAGAATATATTGTTTACACGTCCATCAGTCTTCTAGTGAAGATTTCCAAATCGTTCTTTGTTTTAAAAATATTTTAAGTTTAGCTTATGATGATTATCAAGTATCAATGGCCATTAACAGCATCCGATCTAAATATTCGAACAAATTTAAGTTAGTTTATGATAATACAGTAGTTGACAATTATACCTATGTACAGTACAGTATATCATATATCTACTATCAACTATAATTAATTGATATAATAGTCAATAGTATATATATAACTGTATTCTTAAATTATATATTTATGAATACAATTTAATGTAAACGCTAATTCAAACGAAAAAAAAAGGCAATTTGGTTTAATGGTATAAGGCAGTGTTTCTCAACGGGGGGCCCCATGTGGGCGTTTTTCCATGTTGAGGGGGCGATTAGTAACAATTTAATTTTGGGGGGGCGAAAAACAATTTTCTGGGCGATATAGTAAAACATTAAGAAATAATTAGATATTTTATTTGTTATATCGTGCAATAATTAAACAAATAACATTATACTAATCACTAGTCTATTCAATGCAGTACGCATTTGGCGTTAGCCTTGTCCCTCGGCATCGGAATTTTGTAGTGAAGGAGGCGATACTACGTAACGGTTTATTGAAGGGGTCGATACTACGTTGAAGGAGGCGACGATTCGTTAGAGGTTGAGAAACACTGGTATAAGGCAAGGCAACGCACGGATGACCTGTCAAGGGAGAGTCTCCCGGGATTTTCTATAGGGACCTGGCCACTACTTAGATCAGTGTTTCTCAACGGGGGCGATATCGCCCCCATGTGGGCGTTTTTCCATGTTCGGGGGCGATTAGCAACAATTTATATTTTGGGGGCGAAAAACAATTTTCTTGGCGATGTAGTAAAACATTATATTAAGAATAATTAGATATTTTATTCGTTATATCGTACAATAATTAAATAAATAATTATAGTCACTAGTCTATTCAATGCAGTACGAATTTGGCGTTAGCCTTGTTTTTCGGCATCGGAATTTTGTAGTGAAGGGGCGATACTATGTAACAGTTTTATTGAAGGGGGCGACGATTTGTTAGAGGTTGAGAAACACTGACTTAGATAATTAGACACGCAAATAATACCCCAGAAAATTTCATGTGGTCAGTTGTTGGTGAGAGCGAATTACAGTGTTCAGTGGTTTTATCCATTGGACCACTAGTGTGAAAGGTTACTTAGAAAACTAAACAAACGATTTTTTCGAAATTAAAATCATAACTGATGTAAGGATCAGAATTCTGTTATTTAAAGATCAGAAATTTTATAATCTGCTATAATTATATAGGTATCTACTTTTAATAATATTTAATTATTAAATTCAAAATTTTTCTAATTTAATTTAGGTTTATTGATTTGATTCTACATAGAAGTTTCTATTAGAAATCGTTAAAAATGAAACAGGAAGTCAAAATCAACGTTAAAGTTTTTAGCAGCTACGATACTAAAATAGAATAAAGGATAAATATAGTATTATTATTTTTTAATGATATAAATAAGTTAGATGCATTCAATTTCAAAAAGCGCAAAATTCAAAGTTTATTTTTTTTATTGTTTATCTCAATGATTCATTTTTCTCTTTTATTTCTTTTCTTTTCCGATTTTATACACGCTTGCAACATGCATACGGTAACGTGCATAAAATTGTTATCTTTTGTAAGTAGCCGAATTTTAAGGAAGTATTCATACATATAAATGAAAAAAATCAATATCAAAACAAATCCTGAAAACATTTTAAATTCTCCTTTATTTATTTTTGTCTCTGAAATTTAAATCTAAATAAGAAACACTTAAGAATATAATTGCATAGAGGATCTCATTAAGGTACAGTACATAACTTTCAAATTAAGCAAGAACAGAGATTCAAGGAAATATTATTTGCGATATACATTTCATTTTATTTCAAAAAGTATAACAAATAATGACATTAATATTACTGACTTATCATTTTTATAAATTGATTTGGAATTAATGTATGTAGGCCTATTTATGTATTTACTCATAGTTCTTAAACCTAGTATATAACTATTATAATATAGACTATATATATAAAACATAATATATATTTATACATATATAATATTATACATTTTATATATATTATTTAAGTTACTAATAAATATTTGTCTTCAATTTAAGGCATTAAATATTTATTTTATTCTGTAATTTTAATAAAAAAAAAAAAAAGTGTAAATCTGTTATTAAAATGGAGAAAAAGCTGAAAACAAAACTCATAATTTTAGGAGGATAATTTGATAAACTGTCGGAGAATGTGGATCATACATTTTATTCTTTTATACCACGCGTTATTTTTTCGATTAATTATATTTTGAACAATTTCAAGAGAAAAATAATAACGACCCGAATTTATTTCATGCATAATTAATTGTTAAAACTTGCCTGTAAATGGTGTTGCAATTCCTGCCCTGGCACATTGAGGTCTGTTGAACTCATGGCAAAAATATTCTAGAATCTATTTTAAAAACAATACAAAACTTTTTGTAAATAAGAAATGCGAATTTTCATATTCATATATTATTCAGAAAATGTTTCAGAACATTATATAAGTTTAAATGCTTTATTTTAATCATTTTCTTATATATTATAATATGTAAAGCATTTCTCGATTAATCGAGTTTTATAAAAGAAAAAGCAAACTTCATCAAAAACATTATAATAAAGTAAAATTTAAAAATGTTTACAGTCATTGAAAATCATCGAATGGAAACATTATATAACGTTTAATTATGTATAAAAACTTATAATAAAATCAGCGATGTAGAGAGAATAACAATCTTTTTTCTTAAAAAAAAATAAATTATAAAATAATTGTTATATATAGGTCAATAACAAGCATTAGAAAATGAAATAAATATTTTTGGAAAATAACTTACGTGAAATTATCCTTGAACTCAACCTCACCCGAGGTCTATCGCTCGTAACTGAGACAACGAAGAAACTTCTACAAATGTGATCCGGATATACTTTCCTCATTTCCCATGTCGAGGTGACGAAGATAAGCAGCACATTCAGGTTCTTTTGTACCGAGGTTATCCGGTGCACGTGTACTCGTCCTCATATTGAGAAAGCGATACAAAGTGCATTTTTACTCATTTCAAATTTTTAACATATCTTATGACGTGTTCGTAATGGACACTATGAAGTGTCCATTACGAACAGATACTGACAAATAGAGTTCAACAAATATTTGTATATTTTCTTCATTTGTATTATATTAAGTACAGTATTAGAAATATATTATTTAAAATTATTTTCTACTACGTTGAAGGAGGCGACGATTCGTTAGAGGTTGAGAAACANAAAACAGATTTAATTTTGATAAATAAAAATAGTCGGAAAATTATGTAGTGTTAATAAATAACACGTTTAAAATACTCTACGATGTATATATTTATAAATAAATTGAGTCCGACAGTATTTGCTTACATTATAATCTAAAGAAATAAGGTGAGAATATACTTATATAAATTTTATTATTATTATTAGGTTCAGTTATTGGCTTATCGTGAAGTGATAAATAGACTTTTGGTTTAATGAAGTGATTAAAAAAATAATTGCTAATTTATTCGCTGTAAATATATTAGTCATTATTTGCTTAAAAAGTAAAATAAATTTTTTAAAACAAATATCTCTCTTACAAACTTTTCTTAATTTATTTAATTTTTTTTCCTACCGAAAGTTATTTTTAAAGTAGCGTTACCTACGAACTGTATCCAGAACTGTATATTTATATTTAAAATTTGTTAATAATACTTTGAATATTTTTATAATCTAATATTTATAAATTAATCATTAAAAGTTATCAAATAGCCCGATAAAATATAATTTACTAAACTAAATGTATACAGTAGATATTTGCCTTTACAATCGAATAGACCTTTGAAAACTGTCGTAAAGCGAGACATCCCGTTTCCCATAAACTTACATCATAAATCGAGATTATTTTTACATAAATAACAATTTTAATTATATGTTAATGTGGGAGATGGATAATAAAAATACAGAGCTTAAATAGGACATTTCGCACTTACAGAAAATGTAGTCAGTCGTAAAGGAGAGGGTGGTAAAATTTGACGTCGTAAAACGGACATTTACTATAATATTAATTACTTTAACTCTCCCTAGAAATACTATAATTAAAACAATTCTGTTTACATAAATAATGTAAAAATGATTAGATTAATAAGAATAATATTGAGTTTTAAATTATTACTGATTTGCAACTGGTTATAATGCATATAGGCTGCATGAGCACTTTGTATTATCATACGTTATTTATAAATAGATTCAATTGCTTAATAAACTTATCTGATTGTTCTCGTTGCAGACCTTAAGTTTATCTGACATTATCATTTAAGCAATGTTCAAAGAACCTGTTTTCGAGATAATTGTCATATGTATATTGAAAGAAAAATAAAAATTTACATTGTTTTCATTTAACACATTTGTTTCTTGTTTCAACACGATAAAGTAAGATTATATAGAATTTGACATCTCTAATGATTCCTTACGTGAAATTATATATAGCACTTTGATAATAAAACTTCCTGCTTAAAGAAATAACTGCAATTGGAGCAAAGATTGTACGATTTCACAACTTAATATTAAAAATATATTTCTGTATAGATTTATTTAGCAATATTTGTTAAATTTTTATAACTTTTAAATAAAAGTTTACATTGCAAGGACACTTGTTCATATGAAAATTTTTGTGTTTTAAAGAAGCATTTGAAGAAAGTTTTTGCGTAAATAAAAATAAGACGTTTGTAAAAGTATTTACTAAGTATTTAAAACTTTCTTAAATTAATTCGTTTTATTATATATAACTTAATGGGAATTTCACAAACACATTAACGGCTAAAGTTTTAAGTAATGAACTTTTGCTACCCACTTCGAAAAACCTAGTTTAAAGTAAGTAAGTTTAGAAAATTATTTATTTGAGACAGAATGACTCAACCTAATTAATAATTATGAACTAGATAACTTTAGTGTAACAAGCGTGGGCATGTTTAAAAGTATACGTGTTACACTAAACAATCTACTTTTTATATTTAATTTCATATACATTTAATATTTCTCATAATTACAATAAGAAGTTCCAAAAAGAAAAACTTAAACGAATAATTTATATTAAATACTGTATTTGTTAGGGAGGATAATTCGATTTTGTTTTTAGCAAAAGTAATAAGAAACGTTATCCAGTTACAGAAAATCAGTATGTCAAAATTTATTTAAAATTATAACTTGTTGTAGTCGATTCCCGATTCCCGAAATTATAATTTGCTTCCGGAAAACCGTCGTTATTTGTCAACTGACAAATGTTGGTCTATAGACGTGAATTATTTGTTAAATTGTTTGTTAAATAATGAGCTCAGCTCACACGTTCCACATGCGAGGACGAATTTAGAGTATGATGATCAATGCATGATCGATGAGAAAATTATATAGCCTACATTTGTACAGCTCGTTTCACGCCCGGCTGTAAAAATAAACAGTAGCAGGGACCAGTATATTTGATTTGTGAAGGATGAATTATTGACGAATTTTGACAAGTTCATTGTGCATTACCAAATAGAAGTTCCTTATCTTTCAGTGGCGTGCCGTGACATTTGATGATAGGGAAGCTGTGTGATGATAAGAAGCCGACTTCCAGGGACAATCAGTTAATTCTTTCTTTAAATGTATTTTTAATAGATTATTTATCTGACGTACTTAATAAATAAACAAGTTCAATATAATTACCTCTGTTATTAGATCCAATATATTCCATATGCCCTCTAAATGCCAATTCTTGCTTTGATAAAAACATATAACATCTATTTATTTAGATATAATATATCTATTAGCCGTAACTATCTCGTTATAATTTTCAATATTTATTTTATATTATTTACTAATGTTAAATTCTATTCCGCTTTGATTTCCAAATTGCTTCAAATACGAAAGAATCGACGATTTTTCGTGTCTTTTGCCAGCTAAATTGTCAAAGCCATTCTTATTCCACACACTAATTTCATTTGAAAATAGTAGGCAAGCCAACAAAACAATTTTTGCATTTTTATGCATTTACAGAGCCATTTTATCGTGAAAATGTCGAACAAATTTTTTTATTGAAGCGTTTATATTTAACTTAGGCATTGGCCTTTCTCTTTTAATAATGTTTTCTTTTTCATTATATGATCTCGAGCCAAAACTTTTTTAAAATAAATTTTCAATATCGCAATTACATTCCGAATCGCTAGCCACGATATAAGGGCTAAAATTAAAAATAAAATTATAAAAACTTACTTGGTGAAATAAAATGTGTGGTGGATATACATACCTGGTACAAAATATTCTTCAATTGTATGAATATACTTTTAAAGAAAATTATAATTAAATATAACTTTGTAATGAAACGTACATGAAAATAACATAAAATATTCTTTACTCTTTAAATCTTAACCACTTAGTCAAATAGCTCCCTACGAGTGGAATCAGAGACGGTCCTGCTAGGTGTGCGGTGTGTACTGTACATGCACGCGGGCTGCCAAATCCCGAGGGTGCCGATACCCTCGGGATTTGGCAATGTCAAATGTTTCTTTTGTCGCATCACTAATATACCTCAAAAGACGCGACAGGGTTCTTGTAAATTTTAAACGTTTCTCACCATAGCTGTAAAAGTCTAAATGTTAAACTTAATAGATTGTCCGTCTTTTGTTTTCTAACTAATTCGTTTTAGGACCAGGTGTTGTCCACGGAAATTTCCAAAATTTACAACTTTTCGGTCACTCTCGTCGAACTGGAAAAATTTCTGTCTTTATTACATCTAATACAGTATTTCGAAGAAATCAGTCCCCACTGTACTCGGCTATAGATTGGTTCGGTTAAGCTTTTGTTTAAGTAATATTCCGGCTCTTTCATCAGGGTTTTGTTTATGTCCCCAATTCCCTAATCGCTTAATTATTTAACTACTTCTTAAGTAGAAATAAGTCGAAACCAGTTACTTTGTACTCGAATATTTGTAGTCTCGGGAAAAAGTGGAAAGACAAATTTTTATGACAAACGGATACATAAATCGTAAATTTAAGGAAAATAAATTCTAGAGCTTTTTCTGTACCTCGTGCATCTCTCGCATTCATTAAATTTAGTTGTAAATGATGCTACCAAAGTAACAGTTAATTTTTTAACATTATACATTAAGAATTGTACACGTTTTTTTCTACATCTCCTTAAAGATGGGATATACAAATTCGTAATATCACTGGTTTAACATTGAAATTCCGTGAGTAATATAAAATCGGAATAAATATATGAAATATTTTAACGGATTTTTTTAAACTCCCGTCAACTATACAGAAAACTATCATAAAAACATACAAGTAAATTCTTATCGGTTGGGTTAAGTTATAAATCTACTCGCGATTCACGTAATCGGGCGAGGGCGGCCAAATATCTAGCGGGCGGGCGGCTAACGGCCCAGAACCGGTCTTGGATAGAATTGGATACGGTATACGTGTAGCATCCATCCGAGGTCCTAGGCTTCCACCGGCTAAACCGGGTGAGGTTGGTGCTCTGTAAAGCGCGTGCGCGAATTTGGCTTTTTGGATGCTGACAATACAGCGTTTCCACTCTGCTACTCTGCCAATAATATTCGAATATACAATAGCGATCTTATCTTTTTTTCACGTGTAGTATAGAAATTTGTAATAAAATACATAATGCGATTATAATAAAATATTGTGCGATTATTTTCATATAATTAAAATGAATATGTATTTATTTTTTAGAAAATACAAGGGAAGCGGCGCATCCACCACTTCCAATGATGGCACGCCACTNATAGAAATTTGTAATAAAATACATAATGCGATTATAATAAAATATTGTGCGATTATTTTCATATAATTAAAATGAATATGTATTTATTTTTTAGAAAATACAAGGGAAGCGGCGCATCCACCACTTCCAATGATGGCACGCCACTGTTATCTTTTAACTTTTAGAACTCTAATCGAGTACTGCGCATTCCCCAGCCAAGATATAGTATGCCTATATAAAGGACTTGTACCTGTATATTATCGGCTTAATATTTTA